CCCCTTAAAATGTAGATACTATATACGCTATTTTGCACTTTGCTTTTCTCACCTAACAGTGTATACTGGGAATCACTAAGTACCTGAACATGAAATCTTTATCATTCTTTTAAATAACTGTATAGTACTTATTTGTGTGACTGTGTTTACTTTATTCAGCCAAATCTCTATTGATGGACATTTGGATTATTTCCAATGTTGTGCGATTACAAGAATGCCTCAATGAATAACTGTGCGTTTATTATTACGTATTTGTGGAAGTATATTTTCAGGTAGATCCTTGCAGGGCATTACATAAATACATATGTAATATTGTTAAATGTTACCAAATTTCCCTTTATAGTGGTTGTTCTGTTTTATACTACCACAATCTGTAAGTGCTTCTTTTCCCACAGCCGCATCAACAATGTGATCTGACTTTTAGATTTTTGTCAGTCTCTCAGAGTAATTTTAATGAGGTTCAGCATTTCCTCATGTGCTGAAGGGCCATTTTCCTTTTTTCTTTTGCTTACTTTATAAACAGATTTGGGGCCTTTTTCTTGTTTTTTTAAGGAGTTTTTGTGTTTTTATTTTTATTATTTTTTTGGTGGCTGACAGGTAAGGGGATCTGAACTCTTGAGTTTTTTTTTAATGTATTCGGAAGATGAGGGCTGGCTGGTTAGCTCAGTTAATTAGAGAGTGGTGTTGTAACACCAAGGTCAAGGGTTCAGATCCCTGTATTGGCCAGCCACCAAAAAAAAAAAGGAAGATGAACTTTTTCTGAAATAAATTGCCATATATTTCCTCCAACTTTGTAACTTGTCTCTTGACATGGCTTATGGTGTTTTTTGTCATGTAAAGTTCATTTTATGTAGTTTATTTTCCTACTCTCTTCTTTATTGCTTCTAGATTTTGAGTCATAGCAACACTTTTTCCACTGCTAGGTTTTCTTTTAGCACTAGTATGGTTGCATTCTTTTTTTTTTTTTTTTTAAAAGATGACCGGTAAGGGGATCTTAACCCTTGACTTGGTGTTGTCAGCACCACGCTCAGCCAGTGAGCGAACCGGCCATCCCTATGTGGGATCCAAACCCGGGGCCTTGGTGTTATCAGCACCGCACTCTACCGAGTGAGCCACGGGCCGGCCCATGGTTGCATTCTTTACATTTAGATTTGTAATCCACCAGGAGCCCTTCTGGTGTATAGTGTGAAGTATAGATAGAATATTTTTTTCCAAATGGCAATCCAGTTATTCAAGTACCGCTTATTAAAAAGTCCATGTTTTCCTTAGTGTATTGAGATGTCACCTTCATATATTGGATTTCTCTTGTGTTCCATTTTTCTTTCTGTTCACTCACTTGCCAATACTATAGTGATTTAAAATACAGAGGCTTTATAATACAATTCAACCGTATTTGGTGAGTTTATGGAGTTATGCAGCCATCACTATAATCAGTCTTAGAACATTTTCATCACCCCAAAAAGAAACCCCATACCCATAAGCAGTCACTCACAGATACCCCTTCCTATCCTCTACCCCTAGGCAACTGCTAATCTACTTTCTGTCTCTATGGATTTGCCTATTCTGGACATTTCATATAAATAGAATTATATTATATGTGGTCTTTTATGACTGACTCCTTTCATTTAGCATGTTTAGGTTTGTCCATGTTGTACCATGTATCAGTGTTTCATTCCTTTTTATTGCTGAGCAATATTTTGTTGTATGGCTATTCCACATTCTGTGTATTCATTCATTGATGGACATTTTTGATTGTTTCCACTTTTTGGCTGTAATTAATAATGTTACGAGCATTTTGTACAAGTGTTTGTGTAGATGTATGTTATTATTTCTCTTGGGTATATATCTAGGAATAGAATTGCTGGGTTATGTTGAAACTCTATTTTTAACTCTCTGAGGAACTGTCAAACTGTTTTCTAAAGTGGTTGATTTTTACTAGCAATGTATGAGGATTTGTTTCTTTACATCCTCATCGACACTTGTTGGTATCTGTCTTTGTGATTATAGCTATCCCAGTGGACGTGAAGTGGTATCTCTGTTTTTTTTTTTTTTTTGAAGAAAATCACTTTATTCTAATTAACTCACACACAATAACATCACAACAGCTGGTTTAAGGAGGCCACACAAACATTTGCCTAGCCTCAAATTCTATACCATCTCAATGAACTTTTTTTTTTTTTTTCTAAAAGATGACCAGTAAGGGGATCTTAACTCTTAACTTGGTATTGTCGGCACCAGGTTCTCTCCCAAGTGAGCTAACTGGCCATCCCTATATAGGGATCTGAACCCTTGGCCTTGGTGTTATCAGCACCACACTCTCCCAAGTGAGCCATGGGCTGGCCCTTCAATGAACTTCTTATACACTAGTAACACCCTCTTCCATTGCAGTTCCAAAGAAAGGAAGCCATTCATGACAGAGGAGAGGTTTAACTGATGATTTTACACTTTTTACTATATATTTATATATTTATGCTAATTAACTTGGTCAAGAGAGTTGATTTTCCATTTCTTCAATTTGAACTTCTTGATTAGGCTAATACATTTGCAAGTCTGCACTGTCTCAGCAACTAACTGAAACCCTTGTAAAGCATAATGTCATTCTGGTTCTGGACATACATGGAACTCTTTTATCTCATAGAAGCAAGGTTCAAAGTGAAGTGTCATCTCAATTGTTTTTCGTTTGCATTTCCCTGATGGCTAATACATTGAGCTTCTTTTCATGTGCATTTGGCCATTTGTAAATCATCTTTGGACAAATTTAGATTTGTCTATTCAGATTCTTTTCCCACTTTAAAAAAAATAATACATTTTGTTTTAGTTTTACACAAGAGTTTCAAGCATAGTACAGAATTTCCTTATCTTTTTCTCCTAGCCCTGTGTCCCCTTTAAAATTGTTTCGTTTTTTATTTTGAGTTATAAAAGTTCATTACATATTCTGGAAAGAATTCTTTAATTAGATATATGATTTGCAAATATTTTCTTACATTATGTGGGCCGTCTTTTTCACTTTCTTTATGGTATCAGTTGTAGCATAGAAGTTTTTAATTTTGATGAAGTCTTGTTTGTTTTTTCTTTTTCTTTCTTTTTTTTTAGGGGGGGGGTGGTGGCTGGCTGATATGGGGATCTGAACCCTTGACCTTGGTGTTAATAACACTACACTGCTTGCTAACCAACTGAGTTAACTGGCCAGCTCCTTATTTTTCCTTTTGTTACTTGTGCTTTTGGTATCACATCTAAGGCTTTGTCTAACCCAAGGTCACACAGATTTATTCCCACTTTCTTCTAAGATTTTTTTTTTTGGGGGGCAGCTGACCAGTATGGGGATCTGAACCCTTAACCTTGGTGTTATCAGCACCACACTCTCCCAAGTGAGCTAACTGGCCTGCCCCTCTAAGATTTTTGTAGTTTTAATTAGTTGTTTGATCTATTTTGAGTTTTTTGGTGCAGAGTATAAGGAAGGGGGGGTCCAACTTCATGCTTTTGCATGTGGATATCTAGTTGTTCCAGCACCATTTGTTGAAAAGACTGTTCTTTCCCTATTGTCTTAGCAGTCTTGTCAGCATCAATTGACTGTACATGTAAGGGCCTAATTTTGGACTCTCCATTCTGTTCCATTGATTTATATGTTTATCCTTATGCCAGTACAACATGGTACTGATTACTGGAAATTTGTAGTAAGTTTTAAAGTAGGGAAGTGTGTGTTCTCCAACCTTGTTCTTTTACCACATTGCTTTGGCTATATTGGATCTCATGCATTTCCACATGAACATTAGTATCAGGTTGTCAATTCTATGGAAAAGCAAAAAAGGGGGGGGAGCAAGCATTTAGCCAGAAATTGTGTTGACTATGTAGGTATGTTTGAGGAATAAAGCCATCTTAGCAATATTGTTTTTTATCCATTGTATTAGTTTGTTTCTATAGCTGAGAACAGAAACTGGGTAATTTGTAGAGAAACAATATTTATTGCTTACATTTTCAGAGGCTGGAAAGTCCAAAGTCCAGTGAACACATCTGGTGAGGTGACTACTATAATATAGGGTGCCACATGGTGAGAATGGCAGAGCAGAGAAAGAGATTCTCATGTGCTCTCCTTTTAAAGCCAGCCGAACCATGCCCATGACCACCATTAAACCATCAATCAGTTTATACATTTACCAGGGCATGGTGCTCACAATCTAATCACCTCTTCAAGGCCCCACCTTTCAATTATCATAATAGGATTTCCCACCCTCAACAGTTATAGTGGGGGTCAAGTTTCCAACACATGGACTTTGGGGGCCACAATTCAATTCACAGCACCCATGAACAAGAAATGTCTTTTTATTTATTAAGCTCTCCTTTAATTTCTGTAAGTAATATTTTGTAGTTTTCAGTCAAAGGATTTTTAAAGGTAAAAATGTGACAGGAATTATAAAAGGAAATTTTTTTGAAAACATCTGAATACTTCTAGGAATTGACTTGACGATGTTTGTATTTTGTTTTTCATATATTTCTTGTAGTAAGCAATGAAAAATCAAGTTCACTTCTTAAATATATTCTAGCTTTTGAAAAATAGTTCAGAGATTTATAGTTCCCAAAGTAATAATTTTAATTTTGGTTTGTAATTAAGATTTGGGAGGGCCGGCCCGGTGGCGCACTGCTACAGTGCGCCGCTTGGGAAGCGCTGCGGCGCTCCCACCGAGGGTTCGGATCCCACATACAGACCGGCCGCTCACTGGCTGAGCGAGGTGCGGGAGCAACACCGAGGGTTGCGATCCCGGTCTGGTACGGGAGCGACACTGAGGCTTGCGATCCGTTGCCGGTCACGAAAAAAGACAAAAAGGGAAAAAAAAAAAAGATTTGGGAAACAATAGGAGAGACCCCCCCCCCAATTTTTTTTTGTTTTCAAGAAGAAAACCAGCATTAACCTGAAATGTATGTATGTATGTATGTATGTATGTATGTATGTATGTATGTATCTGTTTATCTGTTTGTCTATTTCTCCCCTCCCTGTCATGTAGAGTTTTATATGAAGGGAAAGAACGGCTTATTCCAGGATGTGAAGTGATCCAAGCCACGCCCTATGGTCGCTGTGCCAATGTCAACAATAGTTCAACTACTTCACAAAGAATCTTTATCACTTATCGAAGGGCTCCTCCAATCCGACCCCAGAATTCCTTGGCTGTAACTGATATCTGTGTGATTGTAACCAGTAAAGGAGAAACCCCTCCTCATACCTTCTGCAAAGTTGACAAAAACTTAAATTGTGGAATGGTGAGAATAAAGTTGTTTTATTTTCAAAGTTTTATATGAAAGCAAACAAAAAGTGATACTTCATAGACTCCTGTTTACTACTGAGTATGTAATTTACTCTCATTTTATATTTTCGTGATTGTTGTTTTTATTAGTTTTGTTCTGTAATTTTTTGATTCATAATAATTTAAAAAATCCTATCTGAGGATTATAATAATTGTACACAGAAAAGGATATTTTATATGAGGGATTTTTATTTATTTATTTTTTGGTAAATCTTAATATTGCCTCTGTTACATTAACATAGAGGTTTTCTCAGCTTTTGGGTTTCAGTTGTGTCTTCAAGGGTTACTGCAGGGAGAGTGGGTGGGGGATCCCCTTACATTTATTTATTTTAAATATTGTAGTTTTTTTCCTTTTTATTTATTTATTTTGATTTAAATATTGTAGTTTTGCATACTTGTTTTTTTTTTTTTTAAAAAGATGACCGGTAAGGGGATCTTAACCCTTGACTTGGTGTTGTCAGCACCACGCTCAGCCAGTGAGCGAACCGGCCATCCCTATGTGGGATCCGAACCCGTGGCCTTGGTGTTATCAGCACCGCACTCTCCCGAGTGAGCCACGGGCCGGCCCAAGCATACTTGTTTTTTTAAAGGGCTCTAGTGAAGAAGAAAATTGAACAGGTACATTTGATATATAGTTTTGTACTACTAAAGGTTATTATTGGGTCAGATTTATTTTGAAAAATATATTCAGGTTAAGCAAATATTAGCTTAGCGTGGTATAGGCAGAGAGGACAAATGCAGCCATAACTATTACTGAAGACAGGGTTGCCTGTAGAGGTGATAACCTCATATCACTCCAGTGACCCCAGTCTTCCTTTGTTTGGGGGTCACTCTTTTGTCTTTTTTTTAAAGCTAATTTATATTTTACAGTGGGGTTCCAGTGTGTTTCTTTGTTATAAGAAGTCGGTGCCTGCTTCAAATGCAATAGCATATAAAGCTGGTAAGTGAATTAAAAACAAAATTTTCTCTATTAGTTATTGGTGCTCATTAATATTTGGCTGGAAGAGACAAAGATACTCCTTTATGTAATTTGTGGAATCGATCTATTCATAAAGTTGAATTTTTTATAATTTTAGCATGTAAAGGCATGTTTTCTTAAATACATTACAGACTACAAGATGTATTTAATATACCCCCTTCCACACACAAAAACATGCTGTTAATTAAATTAAAGCTTTTATCCAAAGCAAGCATATGTGGAATAAACATTCAAGGTTTTGGTGTATACCAGTAGATTTAAATTTAATGGAAAACTGCTTACTCTTTGACCTTTTATATTTTGGCAGTCAGAAAGGTGTCAAACTGCATCTTTACTTCTTATATTTCCTTTTGTTATCTCTGTGTGTCTGATTTGAAACCACGTGTTACTTGCCATGAAAGGTGGACTTGCTTCCTTTCTCCGTTGTTGCAAAGAATCAGCTATATGGAGGAGAGGAGGGCCTGAGAAACTTTTCTGCCATGAAGTATTTGAGAAATCTGTTGCCACATTCTTACAGCACAATAATGTGTCAAGGGCTATAAAGATTTAAGTGTGACCTCTTCATCCCACTGGTACTGTGGGATAAAATCTGAAAATACAGGTATGCTCCAGTTGTAAATAGAAGAGATAGTGGAATAGGAGGGTACTTCAAACAGTTCGTGGAAAAATGGAATTAAAAAGATAATCTGAATCTTTCCATGAACTTTTTGAAGACCCCTCATACTGCTCTGTGAAAAGAAGCAGTAGCAATTATTTTTAAATTATGCATAGTTTTTAAAAAAAGTTTTACTTCAGGGAAGTCAGGCAAATCCCTATCTGAAAAATCTTTATTGTTCCGTAAAAACATTCATTCTGATGAATCAAACTATTTAATTTGTTATATAAAAATAAAGGCAACAAATAATCGTTATAAAACTCAGCATCATTTTTAATGTGATACTGATAATATTTCCGTAATGTGTTGATTGTATGTGATTTCCTAAAATTTTTTTTTTTTTGATGGGGAGAAGGTATCTCTTAAAAAAAAAACCATGTGGAAAGAAGCTTTGCAAAAGTATTCAGGTATTTGATATTAGACACTTATTTTAGAATACAGAGTTTTGGAGACTGAATTTGGACTCAAAATTCTGCTACTGATTTTCAAGATTTTTTTTTTTTTTTTTTGGGCAGCTGGCTGGGGCAGGCATCCAAACCTTTGACCTTGGTGTTATCAACACTGCATTCTGGCCAACTGAGCTAACAGGCAGCCTCTGTTGATTTTCAAGTTTTTAACTTAGAGGTGGTCTGTTGAACATTAGAAGCTAATTTACTGATGCCATGTAGCTACTTTATTTTGAAGGGGCTTTGTTAATGGTTCTCAGAGTGGCCCCTGCTCCTTCTTTCTGGGTCTCACATACCCTGTACACAGTCACAAGGGTATCTGTCTCGTTTACTTTTCATTTGCGTGCCTTTTACACTGCTTCTCTCTCAAGATGAGTTTAAGGGCTGCGATAATTTCTGTTGCCTTGGCATTATTTCATTACACATATTCCTTCTTCAATTTTTTACTCAAGACTAACTGAAATAGTTGACAGATTTTTCTATATGTTGATTACCATTCTCCACAAGGTGGTGGCAGATGTAGAAGAAAATATATTGATTGGTGGTAAACACTGGTTGAGTAGGGTCTTGACCAGTATATTTAATAAATTTCTATGTAACAATTAACTATAAATCCATGGGTAAAATATAAATACTAAATTTGTTAATTTATTTAAATTTCTGTTATTGCAAGAGAAAAATTGATTTTGAAATTTCACACAAATATTCCCAGAAATTTGGTATTAAAATATCCTATTAATATGTGGTATATGTAATTTATGGAAAAGTAACTATTTAAAAAAATTTATCACTGTCTCTTCTTTTCAAAAGGCTTAATTTTTAGATATCCAGAAGATGACTATGAGTCATTTCCACTCTCAGAATCTGTACCTCTCTTCTGCCTTCCAATGGGAGCCACTATTGAATGCTGGGATACTCAAACCAAATATCCACTTCCAGTTTTTTCAACTTTTGTCCTGACAGGTTCTTCAGCTGAAAAGGTATATTTTTGCCTCACTTATTAACCCAATTTTGTCCATGTTTTTATCTCATAAAATGGTTAACATAAGTTTTATTTCAATGTTAAGATTATTAGGATACAATATATTTTGGTTTAAATTTATACTGTAATGCCTAAGGTGAGAAGTCAACATGAAAATTGGTATCAGAATGCTGATACCCCTCGAGCCTCTACAGAAGCAAATGTGAAGTCTCTTTGGAGAGACACCCCCAATGCCCAGGTCTCATGATGAGACTATGGTAATAGTTAGAAGACAATAGCCACCATAGGAAGAACCAGCAAGACATTGAAATGATAGAGTGACAATATAAAAGATGTAAATTGAATTTATGATTGAGATGATTCAGTACCTAATAGAGGGGCTCAAAATAACGAGGAGAGAACAGGATATTTTGAAAAATCAATGGGCAGATTGGAAAAAAGAATCAAATGTCTAGAAAAGAAAAATATGCTTCTTAGGATTAAAAATTCAATGCATAGTTTAGGAGGAATTAGTGAAGTGGAAGATAGGCTACCTTAAATGTGGCACAGAAAAATGTAAAACATAAAGGAGTTCAAAAATGTAGAGGATAGAATCAGAAGGCCCAATAGATATTTAATGAGTTCCAGAAGGATGTACTAGCAAAGGGAAAAGCAGCATTTTAGGGGTTAATGGTTAGTTGAGAGTTTTCCAAGGTTGATGAAAAGTTGAATCTTCAGATTAAAGATGCATTATCAACCCTCAGCAGAAAAGTAAATTAATAAATACATACATACATACATACATAAATAAATGCCACCTCTTTTCATATCATAGTGAAACGATGGAACAACAAAGGCAAAAAACAGCCAGTGAGAAAAGACATATTTATTGTCTTATGTAAAATATGTATTGTATAAAACAGTAATTATGACATAAAATGATAGATTAAAATAAAAAAGGCAAAAACAAACAATATTAGGAAATAAAAATCGGTAATAGTAGAAATTTAAAAATTGAAAACTTTCTAGGAAATTCAATAAAATAAACAATTTAAAAAAAAAAATATAACTAGCCAAAGTAACCAAAGCAGAGTCATGTGGATCAAACAAAATACATCTGTGTCCTCATTCTGCAGGCTACAAGTTTACAACCACTGTATTAAAGATAATGTGTGTAAAGTATCCAGCACAGTGTCTGTAACATAGTAAATATTGAGTGAATGTCAATACTATATAAATTGAATTGCCTGCACCTAAACTAACTCATTAGCTTAATAATCAATTATAGTTTCTCTAATTGAAAGTAATAAATATAACTGAAAAGTTTAAGATCTTTAAACCCTTAAGAGTTACTGAATTTACTTTGACCAGTAGAGAACAACAAAGCCTCATTAAGATGTGGGTACTGGATCTTCTCCTAGGTTTATTTATTGGTTAGGGGATACCGTCATGTTAGTGTTGACGTGTATAAAGTTTATGCTCATGCTTTTGTCATGTTGCTTGTTAAAAACTTTAAGATCATTTTGAAATAATTGTATCTGGGAATGTTGTATCTGTAAGGGCAAGGGTTACTGTGATATACATACACTCATGTCACCTCTCCCTCGGGGTGATGGAGATGGAGACACAAAGGATTACTCAAAGCCCATTTTTCCAGAGCAGTGAGAGGCCCGAAGGGGTTAAATCCCAGGAGTTGACTTCTTCAAGAGAGAAGGAATTCCTGGGAAATGACCCCGAATCAGGGCTTTTCTCCGTTTTTTATTGTGCAGACAAAAAGTTACAGAAAAGAACACAGGTGGTTAATCAGTCATAGTGAAAACATAAACAAACTGGCTACATAACAATTTTCATTAAAGCAGGTGCAACTTAAAAATAGTTTAAGCAGGGCCGGCCCGGTGGCGCACTCGTATAACTTCGTATAATGTATGCTATACGAAGTTATGCCATGTAATTAATAAGTGAAAGATTGCTGCTCAGTCATGATGTTTGTAACAATTCTAGAAACTACGTTATTTAGATGAAGTCATAAAATCACAATGTTGCTTGTAGCACTATAATCATGACATTAGCTTGGATTTATAGGCATATATGTCTCTCACAACACATTCTAGAACCTAACAAGACCATGAATTCTAATTTGCAGCCCGTGATTTACACAGTTTATGTAGATTTTTAAAAGAGCTATTATTCTTGGGCCGGCCTGGTCGCACACTCGGTAGAGTGCGGCTCTTGGGAGTGCGGCGGCGCTCCCGCCGAGGGTTTGGATCCCATATAGAGACCGGTCCGCTCACTGGTTGAGCGCGGTGTGGGTGCAACACCGAGGGTTGCGATCCCGTTGCCGGTCGTGGTACAGGCGCAACACCGAGGGTTGCGATCCCGTTACTGGTCACAAAAAAAGACAAAAAAAAGGAAAAAAAAATAGTTTAAGCAATTTGCCATCAAAGGAGTCATAAAACTAAGCAATGTGACGTACAGAGAACCAATGAGATAATTGTTACGGCAACCCTTAGTTCCCCAGGAAACTTAGAGAAGTAGTCAAAGGTGAAATGTGGGACCAGCCGCTAATTGGCAGACTAGCCTTGAAGCTTTCAGTACACATATTTTCCCATAATTAGGTTTAGCTGCACCAAAGGCGTCTGTCCTTAGAGCAAGCACTTATGCTGTGTTACAATTCTCATATCCACACTGGAGACTTTTTAGTCCTGTGAAATTTTTCTGTTTTCCCCCAGACTTAGCATTTCTATGTGCATTACTAAAAGGTTAGGTTCTTCCTCAAACTACAAGGCTCTGGCTTTGCTAAAACGACGGACTGTGGCCCCACTGGACTATAGCTTAAACTGAAGGGCTTTGGCCCTTCTAACAGCTAAGGACTGTGGTCCTACTAAGATAAAGATCCTACTGAGTTACAGCCTGATCTAAGGACTGTGGTCCTTCTAACAGCTAAGGGCTGTGGCCCTACTACACTAAAGGTTAGGGCCCTGTGAAGTACATGTGCTTTATTAGTGTTAGCACCCTCTACACACTCACACACATATAATGACTATTAGTTATAAAAAGTATAAAAGTACAGAAAGAACTGATTGGTTGGGAGGAAGAGATGGATATAATGATAAAAATGCTTCACAAAGGAATTGACACTTTAGCAGTATTTTTAAGAGTGGACAGATTGGGGGAAGCACCAAAGCAGAACAAGATGTTCAAAGGCACAAAATTAGGAAATAGTGTATGGGTTTGGTTCTGTACGTAGCTCTGTATGGTTGAACAGGAGCAGCAGGTGCTATTAGGAATTGAGAACATGATGCCATTTCCATGAACTGTGTGACATTTTACCTATAATGGGGAGTTTTTGAAGGGTCAGATTATTATCCCTGAAGGATTTATCTCCAGTGTTTTCCACTCAAATAATTCCTCTTCTCACTGAGACCAGTCAGGGCTTACTTCAGTAGTTACTTTGAAATGTGGCTAGTGAAAATGGAATTGAGACTGTCTTCCAAATTTCTGGCTTGGGGATTGGGTAGCATTGTCACTGAGTGAGATTGGGAACATTGGAAAAAGTGTGCAGATAATGAGTTTATTTTTGAAAATACTGATTTATGATGCCTATGGGACATCCAGGTGGTGGTGATGTCATTTGGAAGTATGAGCCTGGAGTTCAGGGAAGAGGTCAGACAGAACTAGATTTGGTAAAGATTTGTTTTGTTAGTACAGTGGTTACAGATTATGTTAGTCCATTTTGTGTTGCTTATAACAAAATACGTGGAACTGGGTAATTTATAAGAAAACAAACTTTATTGCTTACAGTTTCTGAGGCCGGGAAGTCCAAAGTCCATCTAGTGCTGGCAACAGTGACCCAGGGGTCTCATATTGCAGATGGTGGAAGCAGAGAGAGCAAGACAGACTCTCCCCCTCTTCTTCTTCTTTTTTTTTTTTTTTTTAAGATAACCGGTAAGGGGATCGTAACCCTTGGTTTGGTGTTGTCAGCACCACGCTCAGCCAGTGAGCAAACCGGCCATCCGTATATAGGATCCGAACCCGTGGCCTTGGTGTTATCAGCACCGCACTCTCCCGAGTGAGCCACGGGCTGGCCCTCTCCTCTTCTTTTAAAGCCCTCAGAACCACACCCCTGACCACCATTTTTAATCCATTCAGTAGGCATGGTCCTACAATCCAATCATCTCTTCGAGGCTCCACCTTTCAATTATGATAATAGGATTTTCCACCCTCTTAACCGTCACAGTGGGGTGCTAAGTTTCTAAAACATGAAATGTGGGGGATACAATTCAAACTCCAATGAATTTTGGGGGAACACAATTCATTCCACTACACAGATAAAGCCATGCTAGAATGAAATTTTCCAAATAGAATTGGAAGAGAAGTGTGAAGTTAGAACCTTAGGGAATCCCAGTATTTAAGAGAAGGGCAACAGAATTGGATTTACTGTAGGAAAGAGAGAAGAGAACAAAGAGAAATTTGTGCTGTCAAAGATATGAAAGGAGTAGAGAGTTTTAGGGTAGAGGAGTGTCAGCTGTATCTTGTCATGGAGAGATCAAAAGAAGCTAAGCACTGAAAGTGTTTCAGTTAGGAAGTCATTGGAAACCTTGATTAGAATTGTTTTAGTGCAGATGGAATGTAGATTTGTATTAGTCCATTTCTGTTGCTTATAATAAAATACACAGAACTGGGTGATTTATATAGAAAACAAAATTTATTGCTTACAGTTTCAGAGGCTAGGAAGTCCAAAGTCCAGGGAACACATCTGGTAAAGTCTTTCTTTGGTGGTGACTTCAGTGATGACAGGGTATCACATTGCAAAATGGTGGAGTAGAGAGAGTGAGAGAGAGCAAGACAGACTCTCCTCTTTTAAAGGCCTCAGAAGAACCACACCTCTACCACCATTTTTAATCCATTCACTGCTGTATGGTCCTACAATCTAATCACCTCTTCAAGGCTCCACCTTTCAATTACCATAATAGGATTTCCCACCCTCTTAGCAGTCACAGTGGGGGCCAAATTTCTAATACATAAAACTTGGGGGACACAATTCAAACATCAGTGAATTTTGGGGGGAAATGATTCAATCCACTACAAGGTTGTAGTAGATAGAGGTAGAAAAAAATAGAGATACCTAATGTAGAAGAGCAAAGGTGTTGATAGGTTAAAGGTACTTGACCAAAAGGTCTAGGAGGAGAAGGTAAATAAGGCCATATGGGACTCATAAGTTGAAAGAAACTGAAGGGATAAAAAGTTCAGATGTAATTGAAAAATGGGCATAGCTTATACCATATGCAAAAATCAACTCAAAATGGATTAGAGACCTAAACTTAAGAGCAAAAAGTACAAAACTCTTAGAAGAAATCAGAGGGAAAATATTTATGATGGATTTAGTGGTGATTTCTTAGATGTGACACCAAAAACACAAGTAACAAAAGGAAAAATAAATTGGACTTCACCGAAATTAAAACTTTTTATCCTTTATAGGACACTATCAAAGAGTGAAAAGACAACCCATAGAAAGGGAGAAAATATTTGTAAATCATATATGTGGTAAGGTATTTATCCAGAATATATAAAGACTTCCTACAACTCAGTAACAGAAACTAAACAATGCACTTAAAAAATGAGCAAAGGACTTGAGTAGACATTTTTCCAAACAAGACATATAAGTGGCCAGTAAGCTCATGAAGAGATGTTCAATATCACTATCACAACGGAAAATAAATATTGGCAAGGATGTGGAGAAATTAGAACCCTTGAACATTGCTGATGGGAATGTAAAATGGTGCCAGTACTGTGGAAAGCAGTTTGGCAGTTTCTCCAAAAGTTAAACATAGATTCCATATGATCCTGCAATTCCACTCCTAGATATACTAGGGTACTTCAGAAAGTTCATGGAAAAATAGAATTAAAAGATAATATGAGTCTTTCCATGGACTTTTTGAAATATCTTCTTATACCCAAAATAATTGAAAGCAAGGACTCAGATACTTACATACCAAAGTTCATAGCAGCATTATTCAAAATAGCCAAAAGGTGGAAACAACCCAAATGTCCATCAATGGATGAATGGATAAACAAAATGTGGTATATACATGCGATGGAATATTATGCAGCCTTGAAAAGGAATGAAATTTAGATATATGCTGCAACATGGGTGAGCCTAGAAAACATTATGCTAAGTGAAGTAAACCAGACACTAAAGAACGAATATTATATGATTCCACTTATAGGTGGTACCTAAAACAGGCAAACTCATAGAGACAGAAAATGGAATACAGGTTAGTAGGGACCTGGGGTGGGGGTGGGGGAATGGGAGGTTATTGTTTTTTTTTAAAAGATGAGTAAGGGGATCTTAACCCTTGGCTTGGTGTTGTCAGCACCATGCTCAGCCAGTGAGCTAACTGGCCATTCCTATATAGGATCCAAACCCATGGCCTTGGTGTTATCAGCACTGCACTCTCCCGAGTGTGCCACGGGCCGGCCCTGGGAGGTTACTGTTTAAGGGGTACAGAGTTTCTGTTTGAGGTAATGAAAAAGTTCTCGAAATGGATAGTGGTGATAGCTGCACAACATTGTGAAGGTACTTAATTTATACTGTTGAATTATACACCTAAAAATGGCTAAAATAAACAAGTGCAAGTTGAGTGAGGTCATTAGAGTACATTCTCTAAGGTGTAGGAGCTAGGTAAAAAATTTCAGTGTGGTTAAAAAGGAAAGCAAGTTACAAGAGTTTACCATCCATTTTTGTATAATATATAGTTGAGTGCATAATTGCAGTGAAAGAAATCTAGATTGATTTTATTAAAAAAATATGGTTATCTCTGGAGTAGAATTTTGGGTGAGGTTTTTCTTTTCATTTATCTATATAATATGTACTCTGAGCAAATATTTCTTGTATAATCAGAGAAAAAGATTAATTTTTAAAAATAAACTTGGATCTTATATTAGAATTCTATTACTCTGTAGGTATATGGAGCTGCCATCCAGTTTTATGAACCTTACTCTCGGGAACTTCTAACAGAGAAACAGCTAATGCAGCTGGGCCTCTTGACACCTGTGGAGAGAAAAATGGTCTCCAAATCCATCAATTCAAACAAATGCATTTGTTTACTCTCACACTGGCCTTTTTTTGAAGCTTTTAGAAAATTTCTTATGTTTATCTACAAACTTTCTGTGTCTGGACCACATCCTCTTCCCATCGAAAAGTATGTATAATGATTAGAGAGATGTCTGGTCGAAAAACTGAATGTACAAATATACATTTTATTGTTTATCTGACTTTTAGCAGCAAAGTTGAAAGGGAGAGAGTCACAGTCAGTCACCCTACTTTTTCCTTCCTCCCTCCTTCATCTGATTCATTGACTGTGAACTTAAGATTGAGGAGTGGTGGTACAGATGGCCAAATAATAATCTTTTGAGAATTCAGCTGAGAATGTAGTGCATATAAATTGTATTGTATGTGTTCTTCTTCTTATTCATCCTCTAATAACCAAAAGAAAAATAGTTATTGATACACAGACATGAACACACCTTCCCCCCATACAAGTGGCCATACCAGGTTCTAACTATAAAACATCTCTAAACTGATATAGAAATTAATAAGGGTGATATTAAATTGATATTAAAAGTGAGGTATTGGTTTTAGCATTGACAGATTTCTTCATGTTTTCCCTTTGATTTGTATTCCCTTTGTTATGGAAATCTTTTATAAGCAAGAAAAATACAAATAGAGCCACTCTGTCTTTTTTAAACCATCTTTTCTGATTTCCAGTGATACATTGACTTCTGTTTATTACAGTACAGTTATACATTGCTTAACAAAGGGAATGTTTTCTGAGAAATGTGTCATTAGGCAATTTCATCATTGTATGAACATCATAAAGTGTACTTACACAGACCTGGGTGGTATAGCCTACTACATACTGAGGCTATATGGTATAGCCTATTGCTTGCTCCTAGGCTACAAACCGGTACGGCATGTTACTGTACTGAATACTATAGGCAATTGTATACATAATGGTAAGTATTTGTGTATCTAAACATATCTAAACATAGAAAAGATACAGTAAAAATAGGGTATAAAAGATAGATAGTACACTTGTATAGAGCACATATCAGAGATGGAGCTTGCAGGACTGGAAATTGCTCTGCGTGAGTCAGTGAGTGCTGAGTGAATTTGAAGGCCTACTACGTTATTGTACACTGCTGTAGACTTTATAAACTCTGTACACTTAGGCTACACTAAATTTATTAAAATTTTTTTTCTTCAATAATAAATTAACCTTAGCTTACTGTAATTTTATTACCTTATATACTTTTTAATTTTTTAGTTTTTTGACTCTTGTAACACACTTAGCTTAAAGCACAAACACATTGTACAGTCATACAAAAAGATTTTCTTTATATCCTTATCCTGTAAGCTTTTTTTTATTTTTAATTTTTAAACTTTTTTGTTAAAAACCGAGACACAAACACATTAGCGTAGGCCTACATGGAGTCAGGATCGTCAGTAACACTGTCTTCCACACCCTCATCTTGTCCCACTGGAGGATCTTCAGAGGCAGTAACACACATGGAGCTGTCATGTCCTATGATAATAATGCTTTCTTCTGGAATACCTTCTGAAGCACCTGCCTACAGCTGTGTTATAGTTAACTTTTTTTTTTATAAGTGGAAGGAATATACTCTAAAATAATGATAAAAAGTATAGTATAATCAATACATAAACCAGTTACATAGTTGTTGATTATCATTATCTAGAATTATGTATTCTGCATAATTGTGTGTGCTGTACTTTCATATGACACAGTAGGTAGGTCTGTTTACACCAACATCACCACAAACATGTGAGTAATGTGTTGTACTAGGACATTACAACAGCTACTATGTCAATAGGTGATAGGAATTTTTTTTAGCTCTGTTGCAATTTTACAGGACCACTGTTATATATACAGTCTGTTGTTGACCGAAATGTAGTTATACAGCGCATGACTGTATATAATTTATATACCCTGCTAACAAACCAGGACATGTCATGAACTTTGTATAGTGTACTATAGTACGTGTGAACGTAGATTTTTCTTACAATTTCAAAAATTTCACATTATAGCAAAAGGAATATCAGTGAAATATACTAGTTTAGTGGATAAGATGGGAGTAAATACCTGAAGGATTTTACATAATGCAGCTCAAAAATCAACTTTAAAAGTAGTAAAGTACTATGCCTAAACTCATCACAAATATGGTTTCAACTTTAATGTTGTATTCCTGAAATACTAATTCAATGGCTCATAGTTCAAAATTTAACTTTCAGCTGTCAGATTAATTAAAAATTTTTTGAAATAAAATTTAATGTTAATAAAATTGAATGTGTTAGTGGCATGTTAGCAACTTTTCAAAAATTAAGTTTCTATGAATAGTTTGTGAAAATAAAATCATTGTATGTGATCAATTTTTTCTCAATTGAAATGATACCCTGCATTTCAGTGGCTTCTAAGAGCTCAAAACTTTGGAGAGATTTAAGAAGTATTATTTATAGGTGGGGAAGTAGAATGGACACGTGGTTTGCCCACAGTGATAGTAGTAAATCTGACATTAAATTCTATATTAATGTTAATTCATTATATCACAGTTAGTTGCTCCCTGTACTAGCACTGATAACCAGGGCTATAAAAATTAACTTTCACAGAAACTATTTTTGTATTATTTTGATTTTTCTGGTGATAATAGGAGATATTAATATATACTTTAAATAAGGAAATCTATTGTACATTTCAGAAGTTTAGTGGGCATGAGTACATTTATTTATACTATGCAAATTTATTTATTTAGCTTAAGTTTTAGATAACTGGCCTTGTCTTTATCTGGGATGATATATAGTGATATTTAAGAATTGTTAAAATCTGTGAAGCATTCTAGAAAAGTAATTATGACCTTTATTTCAAATTTTTTTCTAGGCACATTTCACATTTTATGCAAAATATCCCTTTTCCTTCACCACAAAGACCAAGAATCCTTGTACAGGTAATCAAAAGAGAGTATATTTGGGGAGAACTCTGCGTATGTTCATTCCAGTTATTGCAGAGTGGATTCTATGAGCCTTTGGGTTTGAAGTAGAGCAATATGCATTTATAAAGTCCTTAGATTTCCTGTATTTTGTAGCTTTACTGACATCCTTTCTTACCAGTATTTGGATCCCGGGTGTACAGAATTGGAATAATTATAATCCTTGGTTCATGATATTATTATCATCGTCCATGCATGGCCTTTATGTAGCTAATTTTAATTACATGAAACCCAGAATTATGTTATGGGTATGTTCTTAATATCAGACTGATTAATAAATATTAAATATGAAATGAGCTATGGTTGGAGAGGGAAACTGAAACAGTTTATAATAGCACTTTTCAAACTCTCTGTGCTAAAGGACCAGTTTCTTTTTTATTTCCAATAAGTGGCAGACCTAGGTTGGTATATAGCTTGTGACATATCTAGCTTACCATGTGGGATCAGTATAGACATGTACAGATCTACCCGCCATTCATAGACATGATTCCACAGATTGCATGCTTGGATGTATTGCGAGATCATATCATCATAGAAGTTGCTAAATGTTTTGTTATGCATTTATATACTATCTCTTCTGGATTGTAATAGTTTGCATATTAGCATTTTGAGTAGCACAGGTCTATAGAAGCAAACTATTTAAAAAATTTTTCTAAGACATTATTAACATTATATATGGTAGGATTGTCAGATATTGTTGGTCTTGAATGTATTTCAGTTCAGCAAGTATTAATATATACCAAGCAACTGTCATGTCCTTACCAGTCTGTTGGGTAAATAAATTTGAGGCTTTTAAAAAGCAGCTATTTCATAATTTTCAAATAACTGTATTTAACCAGTCAACTGAATCAAAATTCAGTCAAATTAATTATTTTATTAAAAAGAACTAATACAATATGTCTGAGTAAAAACAGCTATCATTTTACAAAAAGTATGTTTCAAAAAGTATGTCTGTGTGCATATTAGACTATCTTCCATTTTACCCTTTATCTAAATATTTAGATTTCAGAATTGGTTTGGTTGATTTATCTTTTTTTTTTTTTTTAAGCTGTCAGTCCACGATGCACTAATATTATCACAGCCAGTTTCTACACCTTTACCACTAAGGTAATTAATGGTATTTAAAATGATATACGTATTCACTTGGTACAGAATGCTTTAAATGGGAGTTAGGATAATAAAGTTGTGTTATTTTTCAAACTAGGTTAAGAATAGCCTTAATGTTTCTAACTTTGATGCCTGGATGGATGGTGGGACTATTTTAAAAATGGGTACAATTAAGAGAGTTGCAAGATTGGAAATAGGGAATACTTCCCTTTTTCTTTTTTCTCTCCTTCCCATATCCAGTTCGTAAGCAAAATTCAAGGTGAATTATTTTAGCCTTCTTTTTTTTTTTTTTTTTTTTTTAAAAAAGATGACCGTAAGGGAATCTCAACCCTTGGCTTGGTGTTGTCAGCACCACGCTCAGCCAGTGAGCAAACCGGCCATCCCTATATAGGATCCGAACCTGTGGCCTTGGCGTTATCAGCACCACACTCTCCCGAGTGAGCCACGGGCCAGCCTTATTTTAGCCTTCTAAATGTCTTGAATCTATTTGCTTCTCTTTATTGGCATCGTTAGTCTAGGCTAGCATGATTTCTTACTGAACTACTTCTGTTGTTAATCTCTTAATTTGTACTCTTATTCTTCCTTCACTTCTTTATCCACACTGTAACCAGTGTGTCCATGTGAGAATGGAAATATAATTGTGTCATTTCAATTTCAGCTTAATGTCTTGCTGTTTTCATCCCCTTTCTGTTATGCTTTAGTCACAATAGATTTACTTGAATTTCTTGAAGATGACAATAGCTTTTTCTTGCCTCAGGGCCTTTGCATATGTTGTTTCCCACTCCCCTTCTCCCACCCCTATCTCCATTCTTTTGAGTTCAGCTCCATGTGGTTGTGCTTCACAATCTTTCCTGACATCCCTGTTTGTTACCAAAGGGTGAGTTTAAATCACCCCTTTATACTGTCTCATTAAATTAACTACTTTTCATGAGTCAAAACTTGACATTAACAACTAGAGTCTCAATCTATTCATACTTAGGAAATAATTTAATAAGCAAATCTTAACATGTTTTTGTGAAATAGTTCACAAGCATCTCTTTTTTTTCTTTTTTTACTAGTGGAGCAAACTTTAGCACCTTGCTAATGAATCTGGGTCCTGAGAATTGTGCAACTCTGCTGCTCTTTGTTTTACTTGAGAGCAAGATTCTGCTTCATTCTCTTAGGCCAGCTGTGTTGACAGGGGTAGCTGAAGCCGTGGTAGCCGTAAGTATACAGTTTTCCTTTTAGTACAAAATTATGGTAGAATTTTTACTTTAAAGGGAAATTTTCTTCAAAGAAAGCAACTTGAAAAGTATCGATCCAGTAAAAGTTTAACATAAATATAATTGTGTGGCAAAAAGAAATAGGAAGTATAAAGAAAACAAAGATGATTTCTATTTGAGGAAAAATGTCAATTTCTAATTTTTCATATTTTATAGTTCTGTCGAGAGTAGAAACTATATGATTACATGATAGTAAAACTTGTGAATGAAGCTGATTATATTAAATGAGAAGCTCTTGACAATTTCAGCTGCTCTGAAATTATGCAAATGAATTACATGGTTAATTTCTCCCCATTTTAACTTTTTTTTGGCGGCTGACCGGTATAGGAATTGAACCCTTGGCCTTGGTGTTATCAGCATCATGTTTTAACCAACTGAGCTAACTGGCCAGCCATTTTAGCTTTTAATCATTGTGAGCCAGTAGTACATAGGAAATTCTAAGTGATTGTGAAATGAGGTTAATATGCAAATGCTTAGCTCTTGTGTAAAGCATAAATAAAATCAAGTCCTCCCCCTTTTAAAACCTTTTGATGGCTTCTTATTGCACTTAGAAGTCTGATCATGTAGGGCTTTACAGGCCATAATATAGAACTTTGGATATTCCATTTCTCTAACCCTGTCTCCTATTAGTTGTTTAATTTAAAATAGTTGACTCTCTCTTCCCTACCCTGTTTTAAGAATGTAAGTTTCTTGGAAGTAAGGACCTAGTCTCTTGTTTACCCCCTTATTCTTAGCGCTTATTACAGTTATTTAGCACAGAGTTATTATTCAATAAAGACTTGTTAAAACAACAAATGGGGCATGTCTCTAAGATCTTAATCTGGTCAGAGAAATGCTGCTAGGAGTGAAACCAGTAGTAACCAGATTGAAGGAGATGTATTATGGGGTGATCCTCATTAAGTATTGTTTTTCCAAGTCTCCACAGTTACATGTGAAAGCAAAAGTTGTTGTAATTTGGAAATATTTGTTAATGAACTAGCCAGTTTTAGGAAGTTTCTACCCAAGTATTTCTTCCTAAAACATTAGTATTTATCCATGCCCCGTTGTCAGAATCTTTGTGGTCCAGTGTTTTGATTGATTTTAGCAATACAGTGCAAGAACAGGTGGAAAAATGCAACATGGAATTGGTAATTTTATGAAAAATGCAAGATTTATGAGTTTTATGTAACTGATGTTGGAGAACTGTTTGAATTACATTCAAGTCCATTGATAAATCAGGATTTGGTAGTTAAGCAAGTTACCATTTGAAGAAGAGAAACTTGAAATGAATGGTGATAGCATAAAATGCTTCAAAAGGAGAGTGGTTTGAATATCAAAAACTATCAAAGAATTAATTGACACCTATAGCAAAAATTGTTGAAACTCAGACGTGCTTTTTAAAAAATGACCCTATTTTTTGTTGGGTTGCAAAAGTCAGGGGTGAAGAGAAAGGTGTCATATTTTGCTGTCATCTTGTTTTGTTCTAAGGTTTCGTAGATAGTTGGCAGGTGCAACATTCCTTTTGTTGAACAGAAGATAGTCTGTTTGCATTCTAGGAGATCTGAAGTCCTTTCAAGGTCCTGCTTGACTGCCCCTCAGTAATTAGATTTCATTTTCTACTGCTCCCCCTCTTGCTCACTCTGCTCCAGCCACACTGGCTTCCTTGGTACCCTTGGAGCATATTAGGCAGTTTCCATGCCTTAAGGCCTTTGCCCTAGCTATTCCTTCTCTTTGAAACACTCTTCTCCTAGAGTTCTCCTTGGCTAAATCCCTCACCTTCTTCAAATTTCAGCTCAGTGGTCACTTTCTTAATGATGCCTATCCAGTTTGTCGTAGTACAACCCGCTTTCCCTCTCTCCTGCTCTGAACTCTAATCCCCTTCACTTTGCTCTAATTTTCCTTTTTCTCCATAGCACTTATCACTTCCTGACAAAGTATATATTTTATTTATTATGTCTTTTATTTTCTATCTCTTCCTGCTAGACCAGGTGTTGGCAAACTATGGCCGAATCCTGCCTGCCATCCGTTTTTGTAAATAGTTTTCTTACATATAAGCCATTTATTTACATTTTGCCTATGACTGCTTTCATGCACTATGTTAGAATTAAGTAGTTGTGACAGACAATATGGCTCAATAAGGCCTAAAATATTTACTGTCTTTTATAGAAAAAGTTCACTGACTCTTATCCTAGACTATAAACCTCATGAGGGCAGGGATCTTTGTTTTGTTTATAGTGCTTGCACATAATAAATCCTCAAATATTTGTTAAGTAAATACTTATAAATGATTGAAGACAAAGTCAAATCCGGAATACCCGTCTGTAATAACTGGCAGAGGTTATAAGTGCTGCAGGCATTTTTGGGGGATAAATGATGATGGATAAGGGTGAAAATTGAACTAGACCTTGAAAAATAGTGAGGATTTTATAGCAGAGGAAAAAATTTATCATCCGTGAATAAAATTTTAATATCAGTGAATAATTTTTAAAATTTTATTCATTTTTTTAAACTTATCAAAAACTTTTTTTTTTAAAGTACACATGATAGAATTAAGGTAGAGCTTTGTAAAAGAAAACTGGCAAAGGTTCTTGAGTGCTTTATAGTGACTATATAAGCTTTGTCAGGCGTCACTGAAGTCGAATCATTTTATATGTTTATTTGAGCAGTTAGGAAATTTTTTTGTTGAGATTTTCAGTTGATTATTACAATTTCCAGGAGAATCCTTAGTTTTTCTCAATCCTTGGTGCTCTTATTGGATTTTACTCAGAGGTTATTTTGAAAATTAATAGGTACATGAAATGTGTAAGAGTTAAAGATCATGTTTGTTTTATGATTTTTGGGGCAATTTTATTTTTCTGCTTTACTCTTTCTGTAGAATGAGAATGTGGGTTTTGTATAGATAGATATTAGAAGAATTAACATGCTAAGAGCTGTAAGCATTTTTATTATGCTAGTGATCATTGTCATGCTTGAAAATTTTAATCATATTGGTTCATAGAATTGCTTAGTAATATTTTATATTTATTTAGTTGTGGAATGAAGTTTAAGGTAAAAAAAAAAAAAACTAGACTTAAGTGCTTTTCAATGATCCCTTTTCAGTAATATTAGTTAATTATATAATTTTCATTGTAAATTTAAAATTTGGTTAATTTTTTAAAAACTTTTTTCCCAGATGATCTTTCCATTTCAGTGGCAATGCCCATATATTCCCCTTTGTCCTCTTTCACTGGCTGCAGTGCTTAGTGCACCTTTACCATTTATAGTTGGAGTTGACTCAAGGTATTTTGATCTTCATGACCCACCACAAGATGTTGTTTGCATTGACTTGGATACGAACATGTTATATATGTAAGTGGATTAATTTTATATTATCTCCCATTTATATTTTCCATCATATATAGTTATAGCTCCTTGAAAGCATCTAGAAATATGCTATTTTTGAAAGTTGTTAATAAATTTTTTATCTTGAATACAGCAGTTCTCAACTAGGGCAGATATCAGAATCCGGGAAAGCTGTGTGGTTTGAATAAAAACATTTTCAATATTATAATAGTTTATATTTGGGCATTGTTAACTGTAGGAAGGAGATATTTATATTTATAAGTATGGCTTTGAAAAAAATTGTTAAACACTGCTTTTAGAGCTTCAGAGGTGATATGCCTTCTAGGTTTAATTCAAAATTCATATGTAAGTAAAGGGGCTTACCTGTTTGAGGTAATGTTTAGTCACAATGTAGGAGAGTACACCTTTTTCCTAGTTGTTAGGATTTGAATTTTATAAGTACTCTTTACTGCATAGAAATTGATATTAAAAATTAGTCACAGTTTGTGTTTGCTGGAGGTGGTAAGTACAGTAGTGGTATAGCTGCGGGTTCAGAGAGAAGCATACCACATGTATAAAAGCAGCAGCTCTGGGTAGATGCTTAAGATCCACTGCACTCCCTCCCTCCTTCCCACAAGTGAGAAAGGGCAGTGTTGAAAATTCTTTAGTGTTGGTGCCAACTTCCAGGTCCTGGAGCAGTTCTGTTCTTTACTGTTTGAGATTGGCAGAAAATGAATAGAGACAAACTTGGGATGAGGGCTTAAATTGTCACAGCAGAAGAATTGGTTTAGAAAATATCTGTACATGAACCAAAAGAATAACTTAAGGAGGAAGAAAACATTTGCTATAACTTAAAAAATAATTTTGAAATGGATCTACCATTTTATTTCAGAATGTTATAGCTGTAGTAGCTCTTTACTATGCCTACTTAAATTTACTTACAGTCTGGAAATAATGAACCACTGGCATGAGTTACATATTTCTTGTAGCACACATTTTGTTGTTTATAAACTGTTCTTCCTGAAAACAATTATTTCAGGGATGTGTTTGTTGTAGTGCTTTTAGAAATGATTATTTATGAAGTTGTAACTCAGATTTTTACCTTATTTTATTTACTATTCTAGGTAAAATATTATGGAAATTCTTGATTTTGCCCAGTTAAGAATAACTTCTATAAAATTTTTATTAGACAAAACCTTTTTTCTAAAATAACTTGGAACTATTTGCTCAATTGTACTTAAATAATTTTGAAATGCTGCAGATACCCCCAAATTAGAGAGAGTAATGTAAATAAATCCCATCTATCTAGCACCCAGATGAACAAATAAAATTTTACCCCAAAATTTGAAACCCCTCGGTAGTCCTCCACAACCACATATTGTGCCTATCTCCCAGAGGTAATCATTATCTTGGATTTGGTGTTTATCATTTCCATGTATTTTAAAAACGTTTATTATATGTGTATTAGTATAAATAAAATTTTGTTTTGCATGCCCTTAAAATTTTTTATATGTGAATAGTTTTCTGTGAATTGCTTTTTTGCCCAGCATTCTTTGTGAGCTTTCTCAATTGATGCATGTAGCTCTAAATCATTTTCAATGGTCATCAATGTTACTGGACATTTAAGTTGTGTCTAGATCTTTGCAATTATAAACAAGGTTGTTCTTATCATTAGTGTGCAAATTTCCTTGAGTACATGGGCGAATTCCTTTGAAGTATATATATACCTTGAAGAGCTAATACTGGTTGGTAGGGAAAGAACATCTTCAGCTTAATAGCTAATACCAAATTACTCTTCCAGGTTTACCCCCTCTTTAGCAGATGAGAATCTCTTTATTTCATATTCTTGCCAACGTTTGTTATGGTCAGACTTTTAAACTTTTTGCTAATTCTGTGGTAGTTGTATCTCATGGTGGCTTTAATTCACATTTCCCTAATTAGTAGCAAATTGAGCATTTTAATTTCTTTTTAGTTTTCCTTTCCTGTGAATTGGATGTTCCTTTTTTGGAGTGCCCTATTGGATTGTTTATCTTTTTCTTTTGATTTAGAAATTGCTTATATATCTGGAGTTAATTTCTTGGTCTGTTACATACATTGCGAATAGCTTCTCCCTAACTGTGATGTATCGTTTCATTCTGTTTTTGGTGTCTTTTGATGAACAGAAGCTCATTTTAATTTATCAGATTTGTCAATTTCTCTTTATGGATTACTGTTTTTAGTTTTTGTATATGAAATCCTCTGCCTTGAGGTCATGAAATACTGTCTTGGTAAGGTTTTGCTTCTCTTATTTAGGTCTTTAATTTAGCTAAACTTGATATTACTAGTGTATGATGTGACATAGAAATACCATTATTCTGTGCTTTTTTCCCCACACGGATAAACAACTGTCACATAGACTGCTTATTGAATAGTCAGTTCATCTGTTGTCCACTGGTTTTCAGTGTCAATACCATTTACATAGCAATTTCTCTATCTGTGTGGGTATGAATCTGGGCTTATTAATCCTGTTCCTTTGGTCTGTTTTGGCTGCTTTGCCAGTATTACACTATCTTAATGACTTTAAAAGTAAGTTGTCTACAACATGGGTGAACTTTGAAAACATTAGGCAAAAAAACTGTATATGATTCCATTTATATGACATATCCAAAATAGGCAGATCTGTAAAGCCAGAATGTAGATTAGTGGTTGCCTTGGAATTAGAGGGGGAGTTGGGAGTATTGGGGGATAATGGCATGTGGGGTTTCTTTTTGAGGTGATTAAAATATTCTAAAATTGATTGTGGCAGTGGTTACACAATTCTATAAATACACTAAAAACCATTGAATTACACACTTCAAATGGGTGAATTGTACGGCATGTGAATTATACCTCAATAAAGCTGTTAAAAATTATAAGTGAGGATATGAGATGGGAAGTCCATTCATCCCTGTTCTTCTTTAAAGTTGTTTTGACTATATTTGGTTATTTGTTTTTTCATATAAATTTTAATAATATCTTGTTAAGCTCCAAACAAAATTATGTTTTGATTTTGGTTAGACTTGTATTGAGTTTATAGATTAATTTGGGGGCAGATGATATCTTTTTGACATAGTCTCCCTACCCATGAATGTAGTATTTCACTTCATTAATCTTTTTAAAGATTTTCAGTAAACTTTGTTTTCTCCATAAAAATCATGCACATCTTTTGTTAGACTTATTTAATCCTAAGTACATTATGGTTTTTATTGCTACTATAAATGGTATTTTTAATTGCATTTTTACTTATTAGTTGCTTGCATATAGAAATGCAGTTGACTTTTATATAGTGGTCTTATATCTAGCAACTTAGTTGAATTCTTTTATTTTAATTTGTCAATAGATTCTCTTGAATTTTTTTTGGCTATAACCAATCATTTATAATCCTTGTATATTTTTAAATTTCTTATCTTAATTTTCTGTCTAGTATTGCTAGTATAATGTAGAATAGAGGTAGTGATAGCTGGTATCTTATCTTCTTTCTAATTTCAAAGGGAATGCTTTGAGCAGTTCATCATTAAGTATGGTTATTGCTTTGCGGTAGGGATTGAAATCCGGCCCAAGGCCTGTTATTGTAAATAAAATTTTATTGGAACACAGCCATGCTCATTCATTTCCATATAGCCCATGGCTGTTTTTATGCTATGACAGCATATTTGAATAGTTGTGACAGAGACAGTATGGCCCTTTATAGTGAAAATTTGTCAGCTCCTCCTCTAGGGTTTTGATCTTTTAATAATAAATTAAGGAAGTTTTCTTCTATTTCTAGAATATTAAGAGTTTTTTGAAAAAATCATAAATAGGTATTGGATTTTGTAAGCACTTTTTTTAAAAAAATTAAATTAAAATTTTTTTATTGAATCATAATTGATTATACATATTTTTGGGATTCAATGTTGACATATATTGATGAAATCAACATTACTAGTATGTATATTGTTACAAATTTTACTTATTATTTATGCCCCTTGTCCAGTCTCTCCCTATCTGCCCCCCCACCCCCTTAGCCCAAGATTTCTTCTCTCCCTTTGAAAGAGTAATGGTTACTCTGTTGATTTGTTGCCTAGATGATCTGTCCAATGCTGAGAGGTGTGTTCAGGTCTCCAAATATTATCATAGAGCAGATGCTTCTTCTTTCATTCTGGAATGGGCTTTGTGGAGAGAGACATCCTCTTCTTTTCTTTGGTCTCTGCTGGTGACTCTCCTTGTGTCAATGCACTCCAGTGGCTGGCGGACCGTCTGCGAGGTAGTTGTGACATCTAGCCACTTTCACAGCAGCCGTGGTTACTGTGGTGTCTGTAGTGGGCCACCCACATGGAGATGATGTTTTTGGCATGCTCGTTGGTGCTTGTGGTGTACCTGGTTGTGTGTGGGGGGTCTGGTCTCCACCTCCATACCCTGGGGTCCCGGGCGGGCCCTGAGGTGCTGGTGGTATGCCTGGTTGTGGGCAGGGGTGGGGGGGTGGGATAGGGTCTGGTCCCAGGAGCATCAGGTGGGGCCCCGAGGTGTAAGCAATTTTTAGAAGGCTCTTTTTTGTGGGGTTCTGCTGGCCAGTACAGGGATCAAACCCTGTACTCTGTGTTATCAGTACCATGTTCTAACCAACTGAGCTAACCAATTGGCTCCCCACACCACTCCAAATTTTATAAATACTTTTTGTACATCTATTGAGATGAACATTAACTTTTCCCCTTTACTCTCTTTGTGTTAAGTTACATTATAAAGTCAGTCAGTAAAAAAAAGTTTTTTTTTCTTTTGGTAGCTGGCTGGTACAGGGATTGAACACTTGACCTTGGTGTTACTCATCCTCTAACAAATTGAACTAACCAGCCAGCCCAATTTTTTTTTTTTCCTTTTTGTCTTTTTTCGTGTCCGGCAACGGATCGCAACCCTCAGCGAAAAAAGAAGAAATGAACTTTTTTTTTTTTGTCTTTTTCGTGTCCGGCAACGGATCGCAACCCTCAGTGTCGTGCCCGTACCGGACCGGGACCGGCAACGGGATCGCAACCTTTGGTGTCACGCCCGCACCTCACTCAGCCAGTGAGCAGGAACCGGTCTGTATGTGGGATCCGAACCCTCAGCGGGAGCGCTGCCATGCTCCCAAGCGGGGCACTGTAGCAGTGCGCCACCAGGCCGGCCCCAAAGAAATGAACTTTAAAGGTTCTAATATACATGCAGGGGTAGAAGAAGAGATATTTGGTGCATTTTTGTGCAGTTTTAAATATTCTTTATTTCTGTCAAAGTCTTTTATTTGGCTTATGCATTATTTAAAAATGTTCTTTTTAAGTTTCAAAGTTGTTTTTTTTTCCTTCCCTTAAATGCAACTCAGTTGGATTGTGGTTAGAACATGGTCTGTATGTGATTGACTCTCTGGTGTTTGTTCAGATTTGCTTTAGAAGCAAGTTTACGGTCAGTCTTTGTAAATATTCCATGTGAGAGTCCCTAGAAATTGACAAAAAACCAAACAACCCAATAGAAAGGTAGTCAAAGAGTATGAAGTCTTTCCACAGAAAAGTAAATAGAAATGATTCTTAAGTAGCTTTCTCATAAGAGAAATGCTACATCAGTTCTACACTTAGATACTCCTTTTTCACTTTTCAGATTGGCCCCAAAATCCAAAATGAAATGCTTAATAGCATGCTATTATTATGAGGCCTTTGAGAAACAGGCAGTCTTATACATTCACTGCAGGTATTGTGGAGAGTATTTGGCAGTATTTGTCAAAATTACAAATGTGTATATTCTTGATCTACCAATTCCATTGTTAGGAATTTATCCTAAAGTTTTATTTTGCATGAAATGATGTTTATAACTGCAGAATTTGTTCAAAGTAGAAAAATAATCCAGGTGTCTCAGACTTGTTAAATGGTATATCCATACAATGGAATACTACTAAAAACACTAAAATGAATGAGAATGCTTTCTGTACAGGGAAAGATTGCAAAAGATATATTATTAAATGAAGAAATCAAGGTGTATGATTGTGTATTATGGTGTGGTGCTACTTGTGCAAAAAAGAAAAGGGGGGGGTAATTGTATACACATGTATTTGTTAGTTTTAGAATAGAAACATTGAAAATATGCACAAGAAACTAGTGGTTATCTTTTTTGGGGGGAGGGAGCTGAGCAGATGGGGAACAAGGGTATGTTTATGTGTTTTGAACTATGTGGTCATACTAATTAAATTTCTAAAACTCCCAGTGGGATGGTAGATTTGCTCCTTGAATTTTATAGTTATTTGGACATTTGCTTTTTGTACTTAATGGCTATGTTATGAGGTGCACTCAAGTTCAGAATTGTTGTATTCTTCAATTAATTAAATACTTCTATATGTAGTTAACTTTTATTTAATCCTTAATACTCTTTGTGTTAGTCTGTATTTTTCTTCTGCATTAAGTTGTTTTTATTATATCTTTTGTATCCTTTTAATTTCATGTTTTCTATATATAGTATATAACTGGCATTAAAATCCAATCTCACATTTGTCTTTTGTGATTCTTTTTTTTGTTTTCTCTCTTGGTAGCTGGCCGGCATGGGGTTCTGAACCCATGAACTTTGTGTTTCAAGGCTGCACTCTAACCAACTGAGCTAACTGGCCAGCCTAACATTTGTCTTTTAATTGAAGAATATGTTCTTTTACATGTATTGTTATGTATTTGGACATTTATTTTCCATCTTATTTTGTATTTTCTGTTCTGCTTTTTCAGTGCTGTTTTTCTTTTTTTCTCTTTTGGATTGAATGAATTATTGTATTTTCCCCTTCTACTTACCTAAATGTTATGTTATGTATGTGTGTATAATTTTATATTTTATATCTTTTTAATAGTTCTCAATATTTAAATATTGATACTTAAAGCTTAATATTTTCTCCTTTCAAGCAGTAAAGTTAATTAAACTTTAATTGGCAACTTTTTTTCCCCAGAAATCCTGCAGAGATTGATTTTTATTTTATCTGTATGTAAAAGTCCATGTTAATTGAGCTTTTAACAATACGGATAGGAATACCCATTAAAACCATGTGAAAAACTTGCTGACAGAGTTCGCAGTCCTGAAAGCAGTTCATTTTACTGGAATGAAGCAGCCAAAATGCGTCTTACAAAAATTGTACTGAGATTTATCTTTTTTTCCACGTTTATGCAAAAGACCCTATAAATTCTGTTTTGAGAGTAATGGTTACAAATACCCACAAAAATCACTTTGAAACACTTTCTAACAAACTTTCCTGTTTTAAAAACAGTTCAATTCAATGGAATAAAGTAGCTCACAACTCTTTCAAGGAATTAGGAAGAAAATATTTTTTTTTCTTTCTTTCTTTCTTTCTTTATTTTTTTTTAAAAGATGAATGGTAAGGGGATCTTAACCCTTGACTTGGTGTTGTCAGCACCACGCTCACCCAATGAGCCAACCGGCCATCCCTATATGGGATCCGAACCCGGGGCCTTGGTGTTATCAGCACCGCACTCTCCCGAGTGAGCCACGGGCTGGCCCCAGAAAATATTTTTTTTTCTAATTGGTAAAATTTCTTCACTCTTACTGGTTCAAAAACAACAATGAATTTTACAGTTGATGGCCCCTCAGATTAGATTAGATGAAATACAGTTTATTAACTCACAACAGCCCTGTGTATTAGGTACATTATCATCTTGATTTTTCAGGTAAGAAAATTGAGGCTGGCAAGTTAGCTCAGTTGGTTAGAGTTGGCCTTATAACACCAAGGTCATGTGTTCAGATCCCCAAATCGGCCAGCTGCAAAAAAATAAAAAGAAAATTGAGTTACAGACTAAGTGATTTGTATAAAGTCCCATAGATAGTAAATGTCAGGGCCAGGTTATGAGCTGATGAGAATACAGATAGTAATGACAGTGTTTAATTTGGGGGATTAAAAGATAGCACTAAAATATTAGAAAGTGATTACATAAAATGAGAGAAGTTGATCAGAGTTAAATTTGATAGGCTGTCACTTTTAAGACACGTTCCAGTTTCAGAGATGTCAAAATATGTGTCTTTTATTAGTACTTGGCATATAGGCAGTGTTAGCTCTTTTACTAGTCGTTTGTCCTTCTGGAGAGGATATTATGTTTGCTTCTGTGCTGGTGGCCTTACCAGCCAGGAACACTTGAAATTAATTATTTTGACTTGGAGTTTCTTGGATCATATCTGAAGTGTGCAGTCAAACCCTACACCTATTAGTTGGCAGGACTTTAGTAATGAGTTATTAGGGGAGATCCTCCTGATCCCTGAAATCCATGCTGAGGCAACCTTTCAAGGATCCCAGTTTAACTGGAAGTCTCAGTTTTAACACCCTACATGGAAGGACCAAGACTTTGTCTCCAGTCATCTGAGATGACTTTAAAATCCAATGCTCTCTTGTTAATCTTCAGGGCAAATGTGGCTTTGGTGTTACACTGTGTTTTCAACCCCTGAAGATTTCCCTGCCAATTGAGCTATGAATTTAAAAGAATGTTTGTTATATTTATACAAACTTTTGTAAGAAGAGGGCTTTTCAGACAGTTGAGTCTGCTGTGTTTTATATCCTTGTTATATAAAATTCTGGAAACATAAGCTTTTAGTAAAACATTTAAAATGGTTATCTCCATGTCTGGTTTTTAGTGCTTTATGATCATGGATTACATTGAATAATGGTGTTGTGATTGATTTATTTTTTTGCCACAGTGAGGGCTGAATGGACTAAATATACTTTCAGTTTTTAATGAAATTCCAATCCCTCTATTTGGGCACACAGTATTTTAGAAGCCTACCAATAGGTAGTCTCATTCAAGTCAGTTACATTTGACACTTAAAATATCATAATTCTAAAATGTAACCTTTGAAACAAGACTTCAGTGTTGTATTACTAACTCCAACATTGAAAATCTATGTTGGAGGGTTAGAATGAGATGATCACATTTGACTGAGGTCGATTAAAAAATGAAATGAGAACTTACTTGAAAAGCACTTAGACTGCTCATATCAATTGTAACTGCAGTAAAAACATCTTTCCATTTTCCTTTTTTAGTTTGATATAAGAATTTTGTTGAGTGAAAATGGGTTATGAGTAACAGATTTTATTAATTATGTTCTTGTAATAGATCAGATGAAAAGAAGAACACGAACTGGAAGCAGCTTCCCAAAAAGCCATGCAAAAATCTACTTAGCACCCTAAAGAAATTGTATCCCCAGCTATCTTCAGGTAAATGTGAGGAAAAAGCAGTATTTTTAACCAAAGACTGTATTTGAGAAAATTCTTTTTGAATTTAAACATAGTTTTGTTGTACTTAAAAAGTCTTGTTACACACAAAATTCTAGTAATAAGAAATGGATATTGAGGTTCATGATTTTTTGAACATATTGTGTGCCCTGCCTGCTTGAACCTCCTTGATAGCTATCCCCTATCACTGGTCTCTTTATGTTAATGGAGAGAGGAATTTGAAGAAGTCATGGGCTTTATTTTGACTGTTTTCTTAATTAATCATTTTGTGTATAGATATTACATATTAATGCCATTTTCTGTTTTTACTTCATCAGTTCACCGAAAAACTCAAGAAGGTTCAGCAATTGAGATGACGCCAATTGAAGCAGATTTCTCCTGGCAAAAGAAGATGACACAACTTGAGATGGAAATTCAGGAAGCATTTTTGCGTTTTATGGCATCTATTTTAAAAGGATATAGAACGTATCTCAGACCAATCACTGAGGCTCCCTCAAATAAAGCCACAGCTGCTGATTCATTATTTGATCGACAGGGTGAGTAGAATTGAAAATACAGTTGGTTTTTATTAAAGTGAAGAATATTTTCTATTTGCTCTTGCTACCAAGTAATATTCACTGTATAAGTTCTTAGAAATTTATAGTAAAATAATCATGAACTTCCACGTATTTGTAACGTAGCTCTCTGAATTGAATTTCTTTTAATTTTTATACCCCATTTTTTCCTGAGGAATCTGAAACTGGGGGTCTTTAATTATGAAAAGTCAATGATACTGCTTGTATATATAATACTATATAGTCAGTTATCTTAGTAGAACATAGCTGGTGATTTTCCTTTAGGTGTTTCCTCAGTTTTGCATAGTTCTTGGATTTGTACACTATTGGCTTTAAAATATTCTCTAACAATTAGTTTGTGGAGTGAGGTAACAATTTAAAAACCTTTTTGACAGATATAGCTTTGTTCCAGGGGAAAACATATACTCATTCTTTTTAGTATGTGTTGGTTTAAGGAATTATGGAGATTTTTGTTGTTATTCAGCTACTCTGATATATGTAGTTGCAGTCTTCGGTCTACACCAATATTCATATAAAAATTATTTTACTTTTCTGTACTCTTACTCAACAGTTACTTTAAAAAATCTGTATTTTCTGGGCTGGCCCCGTGGCTCACTCGGGAGAGTGTGGCGCTGGGAGTGCAGCAGCGCTCCCGCCGTGGGTTCGGATCCTATATAGGGATGGCCAGTGTGCTCACTAGCTGAGCGTGGTGTGGGCGACACCAAGCCAAGGGTTGCGATCCCCTTACCGATCACAGAAAAGGGAAAAAAAAAAAACCCAAAAAACTGTATTTTCCCAGTAATCCTTTTGTCTTTTATCATTTCTGCTTCAGGATAGCTTACCAATTAAATAGTATATAGTATTATTTCAATATGAAATCAAATTTTTAAAATTATTGATGAAATATTTTATATTTTCTTTTTTCGGACCAAGTCTTCAAAATCGAGCATGTATTTTATACTTACAGCACATCTCAATTTTGATCAGTTACATTTCAAGCGCCACATGTGGGTAATGCTTACTGAATTAAATAGTGCAGATGTAGGGAATTGATTAAATTAAGGCTCAGTTCTCTTGGCAAGTAGTGCCAAAACACATGGTGTTTGCTACTTTCTATTGCATCTAATGGGAGACACCTACATGTCTGGCTTTCCCACTTTTCGCACTCCTGATAGGTTTAAGTATTGTCAGCCTCATTCAACTCATCATAGTTCCCCGTGAGCCTGGCCCCTAATTGTTTTGCTGATCATTGCCTAGATCCATTAGAAGAAAAAAAGACTTTTGTTACTATTTGTGGTAATAATTTGTTTCTATTTTTTTAAAAAGTATTTCTCTACTAATTAGTATCTCAAAGGGATGGGAGGGAGGATCACAGCATGTGGAATACCCTGGGGCATCAAAGAATGGCTGAAGAGAAGCTCAAGAATCATGCTGGAAATGGGGATATTAGCCAGATTATGCAGGACCTTTTAGATCCGTGAAGGTTACAGTCTCTATTCTAAGAATCATTAGAAGGTTATGAAGGATATCTAAGTAGGAATAGGATCAGATTTACATTGACTCTGCGTTTTTTAAAAAAATCTCTTTGGCATCTTTGCAGAGATGGCATTGGAGGCATTGATATTAAAATTGGAGATTTGGGAGACAGAGCTATTTTGAGTGCTAGTGTGGAAAATCCAGGTAGTATGATTATGTGTAGAAGTTGGTGATTGAGGTGGGCTAGACCATAGGATCATGAAAATCAAAGAATTAATAACCCAAAGTGTTGTATGGTTAGTGCTTGTGAGTGTGGAAGAATAATGATGTTAGGAATTGGAAAGGAGGAGACTTAATTATGTGCCCTGGTTTTCAGCGAACGAAGGAAAGAGTGTCCCTGAAGTCAATAGATGACTATGTTTAGTAGAGGAAAAGGTGGAATAGCTAGATACTTGAACCTTAAATGAGCAGAAAGACAATAATGAGTAATTGTCTGGTAGCATTGCAGAGGAAGGACGTTGACCCTTTGGGCATTGACCATTGGATCAAGAGTATGCAGAGTATCAGAGAGAAATTCTACTTGAGAGCTGTAGGGCTAGAGGTTCCTTATAGGGGATTGAGATTTCAGTGAAAAGGTTAATGGTATAAGTTAAATTTTTTTCATGGTTGAATTAGGCAGAAGGAACTATATGTGGTTATTAGAAGCTTCTGTAAATGTGGATATATAAAAAGAAGATGTAATATAGATAAATACAAGTTTAGAATAATGTTTAATATAACATCTAGTTCCACTTTAAAATTTGAATTTAATTGTAATTTTGTTTTCTTCAGGATTTTTAAAAAGTCGAGATCGTGCCTATACAAAATTCTATACCCTTTTATCTAAAACACAGATTTTTATTCGCTTCATTGAAGATTGCAGTTTTGTAAGTGATAAAGATACTGGATTGGCATTTTTTGATGACTGCATAGAAAAGGTAAAAGTTTGTCCTGTATACCAATGTTAAGAAAAGACACTTTGGCTTACCTGTATAATTGTTATTTATTAGCCCAAAGTAATCTGAGAAAGGCAATATAGGGGTGTGTGTGTGTGTATATGTGCGTGCACGCGTGTGTGTGTGATCAATTCTGGGCTTAAAATACAAATAATTTTCCTGTGTGGTGTCTAGTTTCTACTGCACATAGCTAATATTTGAATCTCACTTTGGTTTTGTAAGTATTAGTGCTAAGAACGTTTCATTAAGCCTCTTAAGTCTTATTGTATTTTTTACTTAAATAAGTAAGATAAGATTTAGTCTTATGATTAAGTGGTTTTTTTCTTTTTCTTTTTTAATTAAAAAAGTTGAGGTTTATGGGTAATGGAAGTCCTGTTTTCTTTCGTTTTAGTCTTTCCAAATACTTTTTTTTTTTTTTAAAAAAAAAGATGACTGGTAAGGGGATCTTAACCCTTGTCTTGGTGTTGTCATCACCACGCTCAGCCAGTGAGCGAACTGGCCATCCCTATATGGGATCCGAACCCGTGGCCTTGGTGTTATCAGCACCGCACTCTCCCGAGTGAGCCACGGGCTGGCCCCCAAATACTTTCGCTATATGTTTCTTTTGTCCTAATGGAGGACATTTGGAAATATGTTAAATTTTTAAGCTTTACCTGCCCATCCTAAGGAAGTTTAAGTTGATTTTTGACAGTGATGATGTGCTTATATATTTTTTCTAAATTTTAATAGGGTTCTTATTTTTGCTAAGTAGATCTCGGCTCCAATTGTTTGTGCGAGCTATGGATTATATAAAATTTGAAAGTGTATCCAAAAATGTTAGGAGATTATGACATTTTAATTTTAGTGGGCCTCTAATGATTCATATGCCTTAGAAGACCTGAGTAATTTTTCTCTCATTTTATCAGTGTGATCTGTAACTCCAGGAATATGATTAAAACTATTCAACATTTTTGCTTATATATAAAATTGATATTCCAAAATCTTGGATGGTAATCTTAGATGGTAAGCTTAAGTAATGTCAATCACTAATGCAAGGGTTTAATAACAATGAAATTTGGACTAGCCAGTTAGCTCAGTTGGTTAGAGCATGGTTCTGATAACACCAAGGTGTTACCAACCAGCCCCCACCCCCAATAGTGCAATTTTTTATTGGTGAAGCCATACTCCTCTTGTGATTGGCCGTCCTTTGTTTGTGAATAAGGTTTATGAAAGAACTAATCAAAATAAATTTTTTTTGTCTTAATAGCCACAAGAGAAATATGCTTTAGCCTAATAGCATAGGACCTAAAAATATATTGTGAGATATTTTGTATCTGCCCAGTACTGAAAAATGATAGTCTTCTTTTTTTTTTAAATCAGAATTTAAGATAAAAATCTCTATTAAATTCACAGTGGACATTTTCACTAAGTATCTCTTTTCTCCTTTTCTAGTTGTTTCCTGATAAAGTCACAGAGAAAACAGATAAGGTATTTTTTCCTTAAACTTAAATGTTGAAATTTCAGAATTAGATCTTGTTTATATGCAAATTAATTGGAGAAAATAATTATTTTCAGGTTGATTTTGATTCAGCAGAAGATACCAAATTGATAGAACTAGATGATTCACAGAAAAGTGAGCACACTGTTTTTATAATGCCACCAGAGCCACCTCCTGATGATGGAAAGGACTTGTCACCAAAGTACAGGTAGCAGGAACTTTTAAGAGCTGTTGGGCCCAGTTTTGATAGTTTATTTTGATTTTTTGCAGTTATTAGTAGATATGTATATTAGTCATTTGTAAGGTCATTGTCAGTATTAATTCAGTGAATTAATATTGGAGATGAATAATTTATGGAGATGCACCAGATACTATAATTTAAGAACTGGACAGACTTGTTGGGAGGGAAGCCAGATGTTGATCATTATTTACCTGAATGTTTAACCATATTTTAATCTTTAAAAATTTCAATTCTGAAGAAGTAAAAAATATGTGAGGTTCTTCTCTCCTTCGGGCAGTTTTGCTGTTAATATGAAGCTGTAATTCTTATGGGTTCATAAGATATCAAAGAAAACTTAAAGTAGAGGGCCAGAAATCATTCTTTATTAAAATAAACTTGAAGAATTGGATTTGTATGGGAATCTTTTAAGAAATTAGAATGGATTTGATTGTTTATTATTATTTTATAATCATGATAATACACAGTTTAATAAACTTAGAAAATCAAACAAAAAAAGAAAACAAACACATCATTTTAGCACCAATACTTAGGCCTGTTAATGATTGTTTGTATGTATGTATTGTATGGATGCATGGGTATATTTGTTAAATGTATGAGTTCATCTTGTACATATTCTTTGTAATCTGTGTTTGTCTTTTAATGGTCTGAACATTTTTCTATTCCATTAATGACCCTATCATTTTTAATTGCCACATGCCTGCATTTGTTGTGATTTATTTAACTAGTCTTCTGTTTGTAGTTTTTTGCTATCTATATCTTTGTGTACATACAGTTATTAGTCTGTGTTCCTAAAAGGGAAAGTAAAATAAGTACTTACTAAAATATGGAATTAATATATAATCTCACCAGGATTGCATGAAGATGAAGAGTATATGTCTGGGATTGAGTGGCTTAATTAAATATTATTTTGATTTCATGTTATTTATAGAATTCTGTTTTATTTTGGTTTAACTACTAGGAATTGGAATTCAGGTATTGACAAACAAGGTAAAATCAAATAGGGAAAGGCAGTATCTCTTAGAAGAAAATTGGCCAAGGAAATAAGTGGATAATTTCCAAGAAGAAATCCAAAGTCAAAAGTATGAGAATATATTCATCTTTTTAGTATTCAAATAAATGCAAACCAAAATGATAAGCAAAAGCATTTTGAATTTATCAGATTGAGGATAGGTTATGCTACTAGTTACACTGTATTTAAGTATAACCTTTCTGGAAATAATTTGATAGTGGTTATAGTCATTTTAATTCTCTTGATAAACATGGACCTTAGCAAACTGTATTATTGGGTATACATCCTAAGAAATTAAGCAAAAGTATTCACAATAATATGCATACAAAGATACTTAATTGCAAAATTTAAGAGATGAGCTGTTAATGTTCAGCAGTAAAGAATTGGTTAAATTATGGCACATCCCTTAAGAGATGAGCTGTTAATGTTCAGCAGTAAAGAATTGGTTAAATTATGGCACATCCCTGAAATAAAAGTATTAAGCATTGTTTCTTATAAATACCAATGCAAGGTAATTTTATGAACAAAACTTAAAAATTACAGTGTACTAAATGTTTTTTTAAATATAAATTATCATCAAACACATGGATTTTGTTGAAAGGTTTATTAATTACTCTGTTAAGTAAGATATCAGGGTTTTCTGTTTTCCAGGGATTGGTTGAAAATAACAAATAGGGTGGGGAGGAGCCAAAGTTTCCATGTACGTAGCCTGCATATCTTATAGCTATATCTTCTTATATTTTTTGAAAAAAATATTTTCTGTATAAGAATTTTAAAGAATAACATTGGGTACTCTTTGAGGTTTAGAAATATTTATTTAAATACTGAAATAATATGAAGAGTTAATGTATTTTTAATCAGCAATTCTATTTTTGCTTTTTATTTTAGTTACAAATACTTTCCAAGACTGGATCTTAAGCTTTTTGACAGACCACAGGAGTTGAAACTTTGTTTTAGTAGACACCCTACTGGGAATAGCATTACAAACAGTCCAGCTCTCATGGCTAAGAGAACTAAACAGGTCAGATACTCTTTGTCTAATACATGTTAATTTAAAATGTAAAATATGTGTATGTGATATGCAGCTCATAGTTTAGAATTACCACCCATAGCCACTGTTTGAAGATCCACTATGGTTGTTATTGAATCCTAGAGAACTAAATATACTTTTTTTTTTTTAGCGGCTGGCTGTTATGGGGGTTGGAACCCTTGCCATGCTCTAACCACCTGAGCTAACCAGCCAGCCTCAAATATACTTGAAACAAAAAATACACCTTTATTGAGATATAATTCACATATACAATTTACCTATTTAAAGTGTATAATTCAGTGGGTTTTAGTATATTCAAAGGGTTGTGCAATCACCACCACAATTAATTTTAGAACATTTTCATCACCCTAGAACGAAAGCCCTCATCCTTTAGCTGTTAACTCCCAATTCCTCTATCCTCCATAGCCCCAAGCAACTACTAATCTATTTTCTATCTAGAGATTCGTATATTCTGGGGCATTTCATATAAACAGAATTGTATAATATGTGTTTTTTTGTGACTGACTTATTTCACTTAGCATGTTTTCAAGGTTCATCCATGTTGCAGCATGTATCAGTGCTTCTTTTTTCTTTTTTTAATTTTATTTTATTTTGTCAATATACAATGTGGTTGATTATTGTGGCCCATTACGGAAAACCTTGCTGCTCCCTCTACCCCCTCTCTCCCAACAACCTCATTTCTGTTCGCTTGTCGCTTGTATCAACTTCAAGGAGTACTTCATTTTTTTAAGTTGCTGAATAATATTCTGTTGTATGCGTACACCACATTTTATTTATCCATTCATGGACATGGGGATGGTCCCTACTCTTTGGCTATTATGAATAATGCTCCTATGAACATTTGTGTACAAGTGTTTGTTTGGATGTATGTTTTCATTTCTCTTGGGTATATATTGCAATGTCATACGGTAACTCTATGTTTAATCTTTTGAGGAACTGCCAGGCTGTTTTCCACAGTTGCTGCACCCTTATACATTCCCACCAGCGGTGTATGAGGGTTCCAATTTCATAACATTTTTTTCAGTTCTTGTTATCTGTCTTTTTTATTGTAGCAATCTATGAGGTATGAGGTGGTATTTCATTGTGGTTTTGATTTGCATTTCCCTGGTGGCTAATGTAAATATATACTTTATACCAAATATTAAATTTTGAAGGAAGTTAAAGGGACTTAATTTAAGACAACCTAGACATATTTCTTTACTATTTTATCCTATCTGATTTAGGCATAAAGAATTAAGCCATGGTTAGTATAGTTTATACATATGTTGACATTTTGGGGGCCTTCAAAACATGGAAAATTTTAGAAAGTTTTAGTTCAGGTTTTATCAATTCATGCATAGTCCCCCAAATCCTAGAGGAATCCTGAGGTAGTTCCTAATTTCATACAGTTTGAATTTCTTTCAATGTTGTCTGAAGGAAAAGCTAAAACTTTTACTTATTTATTTTAAAAACTGTTACCAGCTTAATAAAGGCAGATTTCTAAAATGGGAGAATTTTGTTACTCAGCTTCCAAGTCTTTTTTTTTTTTTTTTTGGTGGCTGGCTGGTAAGAGGATCTGAACCGTTGACCTTGGTGTTACTAGCACTGCACTCTCCCAAGTGAGCTAACAGGCCAGCCCCTCCAAGTCTCGTTTTTATCAAAATTTTTTTTCAGGCTAGCTGGAAAAAGAATGACTTTGACATGTTAGAAAAACAAGGGCAGGGCTGACTCCGTGGCTCACTCGACTAAGTGCAGCGCTGGGAACGCCGAGGCTGCAGGTTTGGATCCTATATAGGGATGGCCGGTGCGCTCACTGGCTGAGCGGTGCAGGCGACACCAAGCCAAGGGTTACGATCCCCTTATCGGTCAAAAAAAAAAAAAAAAAACAAGGGCATACATTTTCAAATATATCTTCAAGTCCCATGGAAGTGGAGCTCGAAAGTAAAATTAACACACCAAGTTCTTTTTATTTGGAACACATCCCAGCAGAGCAATCTTTAGTGCCAGGCATACAATGGCAGTCTGACATACCTGGAAGGCTCTGTAGTTTCTGGGAGTATGTATAGCTTGGTAAAGTTCAGCAGTTCATTTTGATACTTATTCTCTCTTTCACCTAAATCACAATGAAAACCAGAAATAGAAACTATTAACTATTGACTATCAAACTTAGGTAGGAACGTCTCTGATCTTTCTCAGACTTGTGGAGTACAAAGGAATAGGTCTTTTTACAGAAACAGTCACTGAGGGAGTTAATACAAATTGTAGCTTGGAAGGGTAGAGTGTAAGTTTTGGCAGGAAATAACCTAGGGTGCCTTAAACTTTAGTAGGGAGAATAAGAACAATATTGTTTTTCAGTATGGGGATTGAAGAACTTTTAAGCTATAAATGATTAAATCTGAAGTGTATGGTTTTAGTTTTCTTTTTATCCATCAAACACAAGTACCTTCTGTGTGAAGAGCATCTTTTAAGCATTATATTATAAAAGTATGAATGATCTTTACTCTGAAGGAATTTCTACTCTATTAGGAGACACATGCTTGCCAACGAATAGTTGCAGAATAGTATAAAGTGTTATTGTAAACAATTGTTCAGGTAACCATGGGTACTAAGTGGGAAGTTTCTCACAAAAGTAAAAGTATGAAATGCAGGATTTTAGGGTCAAATTTTATGTTAAATTCTTTTCTCCCTTTTCTTTCTCACTTCTCCCCCATCCTAATGAATTTTAATAAATACTGTAATATTTATTCTTTCTAGGAGATAAAAACAGCTCATAAATTGGCGAAGAGATGTTATACAAATCCACCACAATGGGCCAAGTGTCTCTTCAGTCATTGTTACAGTTTATGGTTTATTTGTCTCCCAGCCTATGTTAGAGTTTCTCATCCTAAGGTCAGAGCACTTCAGCAGGCATATGATGTACTTATTAAGATGAGGAAAACAGATGTGGATCCACTAGACGAGGCAAGTATAACAAATTGAGTTATTATTCCTAAAATAAATTTTATTTTTGTACTCTTAAGATAATTTAGGTCTCAGTTGCTTTAAAGTGTGCTCAAGCATTTTCATTAAGCGGGAAAGGTAAAACCATTACTCTGTTTCATAGAGCTAGTTTAGATTGTTAATTTTAATATCTATTTATTTTAAAATTACTGCTTTGGAATGAAACCTCCTTACTTAGACCAGATCGTTTGCCCTTGATAAATAGAAAATAATTTGATTTTATTCTTAATCGAACTTTATTAGAGAGCAGGTAGGGAATAGACTTTTAGTGGGTGGCTTAGGACCTGTGTCTTAGTGTGAGTTACATAACCTATTTGTGTTTCAGATTATTCATCTGAAAATGTAGCTCTGAGATTCTCAACTTTGGCACTGTTGACATTTTGGCCCATACAACTATTTGGGGGGGCTTGTCACAGTATACAGTGTAGGATGTTCAGCAGCATCCTTGACCTCTACCCACTAGATGCCAGTAGCACTCCTTCCCCTGCACAGGTCATGACAGTCAAAAATGTCTCTATGGCAGGTGTCTCCTGGAGAACCACTGATGTAGATAATTATTAGTACCTTCCTCATAAGGTTAATTTGGAAGGTTAAATCAGTTAATATACATAAAATGCCTGGCTCATAGTGAGCACTCAGTGAATGATATGCCTAGACATTTTCATACATTATCTTTCTTAAGCCTCAGAACTATGCTAAGAGGTAGGTAGTGATATCCAGTTAATGGTTGACGAAACTGAGGCACTTATTTAGCTTTTCTCTTTGCTGTTTTTTCCTTTAAAAATTATTTTTGATGTTAAGACAAATGATAATTAGATGATATTTAGATGATAAGATAAATGATACTTAGAACCAGATTAGAATTTAAAATGAAAATTCTTTGCTAATAAGTGTATTTGCTAACATTCTTCTTTTTAGACAAGGGTTTACAAATCCTGTTTGTTATGTAGGCATCCTGGAGATTCTGTCTTAAATTCCTTTGGCAACTAATATGAAGCATAGTGATAGTGCCTGGGGAGAGAGCTATTCTAATCATACTTGATTTTAGAAAAGGAATTCCTTCTCAAACTATGGAGGGTAACAAACATTTTCTTGTGTAGACTTACTCACTGAAATAAGGGGTACATGAGCACATAGGTCTTATGTGAAATAGTTAATAATGCTGGTACTTCCATTAATGAATAGGTTTTAAACTTAATTTAGTAAGATGTTCAAATCAGAACAAAGGAGAAAATAGTGCTTAATAATTTTCTGAAAAGAATTGAGTAAAATTATTTTAAAATCTCTACAAGTCACAGATAGGTAATGATGCTTTGATGTTATTTTTTGTTAGGTGTGCTATCGAGTAGTAATGCAGCTTTGTGGACTTTGGGGTCATCCTGTGTTAGCAGTGAGAGTCTTATTTGAAATGAAAACAGCTAAGATAAAGCCAAATGCTATTACTTATGGTTATTATAATAAGGTAAGTAGGATTGACATTAGGCAGTATATGCTGCTTATTAAGAATGATAAATTTGTATGCCTTTTATTATTCATGAAACTTCTCTTATAGGAGGTTTTTGGGGTATAACTTTTTTTTAATTGACAAAAATTGTATGTATTTATTATGTATAACATGATGTTTTGAAATATGTATACATTGTGGAATGGGTCAGTCAAGCTAGTTAACATGTGCATTACCTCACATATGAGTATTTATCATTTTTTCGTGTTGAGAACACTTAAAATCTACCCTCTTAGCAATTTTCAAAATGTGATACATTGTTATTAACTATAGCCACCATGTTGTGCAGTAGATCTTTGAATTTATTCCTCCTAACTGAAAATTTGTATCCTTTGAACAACATCTCTTTACTGTCCCCCAGCATATCCCCACAGTCCTTGATAATCACCATTCCACTCTATACAAGGGCACTTCAAAAAGTTCATGGAAAAATAGAATTAAAAGATGATATGAATCCTTCTGTGAACTTTTTGAAGACCTCCCATACTTCTGTGAGTTCGACTTTTTTTAGATTGTACATATTTGAGATCATGTGGTATTTGTGTTTCTGTGCCTGGCTTATTTCACTTAACATATCTTTAGGGTTTATCCATGTTGTCACAAGTGACAGGATTTCCTCCTTTTTTTTAAGGCTGAATAGTACTCCACTGAGTATATGTACCATATTTTCTCTATCCATTTATCCATTGACGGATACTTAGGTTGAGTCCAGTTCATGGCTGTTGTGGATAATGCTGCAGTGAATATGGGAATGCGGATATCTCCTCAACATACTGATTTTATTTCTATTGGATATATATACCTAGTAGTGGGATTGCTGGGTCATCTGGTAGATCTATTGTTAATTTTGGGGGGAACCTTCATACCGTTTTTGAGGAACCTCCATAATGACTATAATAATTTACATTCCCATTAACGTGCAGGGGTTCCCTTTTGTCCACATCCTAGCCAATGTTTGTTACTTTTGTCTTCTTGATAATAGCCATTCTAACAGGTGTGAAGTGATTATCTCATTGGGAATTTGCATTTCTCTGATGAATAGTGATGTTGAGCATTTTTTCATATACTCGTTGGCTGGTATAATTCTTTATATGTGTATATGTACACAAATATATACACATGTATACATGTATATGTGTATGTATGTATTTTTTAAATCAAATATTCCTTATGAACATTATTTTTACCTTTATGTTATCTTTAGGTAGTTTTGGAGAGCCCATGGCCTAGTAGTACTCGTAGTGGTATCTTCTTATGGACAAAGGTACGGAATGTGGTACATGGCTTGGCACAATTTAGGCAGCCACTTAGAAAGACCATGCAGAAGTCACAGGTCTCCTCAATATCAGGTAATAATAAGTGAAATTCTGGTTGATATTTTTATATACAACTAAAGGCAGAGATTACCTTAGTCCAAAATTATTTTTGTCTTTTTTCCCCAGAAATTTAGAAAATGTTTGCAACTGTAAGTGAACTATGGGTCATTCATGTTTAGTTTCAGAGATTATCAATGCATGAGTTATTGAACTGCTGTTGTCCTTATCTTTAGCTCCTCAGAGTGCCACAGGTGGAAGTGATGGGGACACAGTGAGCCATGGTAGTGTGGATAGTTCTAATGATGCTAACAATGGGGAGCACACAGTCTTCGTCAGAGATTTAATCAGGCTTGATTCCATTGATAATCACTCTAGCACAGGTACTAAAATCTGGATTTTACTAACCTTTCACTTACTCTGTTAAGTCTTTTCATTTTCAGAAAGCTTTTACCCTCCTTGAATTTGTGTGATATGAATAAAGTACTGTATATAAAGAGAAGAAATTGTATATCTGCAGATCACTTCTCTTTATTTACTATTATATAAAATTATCTTTGGAGTCCTGTGCACAGTGTTCTATCATAGTGCTTCTTTGTATTCATCATTAATTTGTGAAAGTGTATGATACAATTGTTAGGAATTGTGAGCTAATGAACATTAGTGACACAACGTGCAAATCTTTTTTTCACTAAATGGAAAATATATCTTAAAGCGTAGACATTATGAATTTTAAAGAGGAGAGAAAATAGGTCACACACCACGAGAAAAGGTATCCTGTTTACTTTAAATGCTATTTTCTACAATCTGAGAAGCTTCTGAAGCTACTTGTATGTACATAGCTGTGGGCATAATTTCTGTTCTCTGAAGTTAGCAATAAGTGTCATTACAGTAGTACATTGGGCAGGTATGTGTGTGTTGCACATCCTTCTTCTTTTGTTGTTTTTTTGTTGTGGTTGTTGTTAATATCTCAAGCCTTCCTTTAAAAAGAATTCTAATTCCTGTGCTTCATCTGATGAACTTGTCTCAATGACTGAAGTTTCCTTTTCTCTGCTCTTTGTTGCGCTGCTTTTTGCTCTGTGCTGTTTCTTGGTGCTGCATTTGTCCTTGGCTGTCATGGTGTGGGGTGCAGACAGACTTGTATGACGTGAAGCTATGGATGCACGTGTGCATTAATTCTACCCTTGAATGTTAACCACTTCAGGTAATTTCCCATTTATTAGGTTAAATTTTGCTGACATGCAAGGGTGGGGGAAAAGACCTTTTGTGGTATTTTAAGTATTATTATGAGCAGAAAACAATTTTTATTTTCTTGGCTTTTCTCCTTCAGACAAGTGTATTTGATCATATATCCAACTAACATAGTCAGTTTGCAAAGCATATTTGTTATCTTATTTGAAAATTTATTATACCTTATTATTTTGAGGTTGGTTTGTAGCATCATTGTGTCAGATGCTGTTATGGTCATTTAAGAATTTATTGTTCCATCTGTTGAGGTGGTCATTCCTTTCCAAAACTGGTGTACTGAATTTTTTTGCTAAAAACTACCTTCCCATAATTACAGGACCATATATAAATTATTGAAAGTCAACATAAGGCTGTAGGCTACAATCCTGTTTGTAATTAATTTTCTTAATTTATAATCCTGTTTGTAAATTAACCAGTAGGGATTTTTATGACAATCCTATTAAAGCTACCTTATTTTATTTCCTTCTGTATTTTTTTATACTGGTAGAAGAAATGGGTTTCATGTATTTAAAAACAAGTCAGGCACAGAAAGAGAAATTCCACATGTTCTCACTTATTTGTGGGAGCTAAAAATAAAAAAATAAACACAAAAACTAATAAGGGGGGGGGGAGAAGACAGAATAACCACAAAAATTCCTTGAACTATTTAAGTCAAATGAACAAATATGATGTGGCGGGGGGGCAGAGAGGGGGTGGAGAGGAATGGGTAAAGGGGCATGAAAATCAACTACAATGTATTTTGAGAAGTTAAAAAAACAAAACAAAACAGGGTAAATAAATAAATAAATAAACCAAGGAAATAATTTTTGTTATGAAGCCAGTTTACCAGGAGTAATAATAATAATAAAAGATAAACACTCCTTTTGTTGCTCTAGATTTTTAAGCTAATCTCATTACAGGGACAATTTAGTCTTTTAATGGAAAAAATGATCTTCTAGTAATTAATTGGTATAAAGAGTCCAGTAGTTAGGGGTGAACTTTTGGATCCCTCTTTCATCTGTTGCTTTTTAGCTGTATTTTAAGTGGCTGAATCCCAGATATTGAATTTACAGTGATTACATATTTCTGTAGGGCTTTTGGTGATGTCGGTTGATACTTTTGGAGTCTTCAAGCCCAGATGCTTAACTTGATCATTTTATTAAGAATTATCACGTGGAATTCTTTCACTTGGTACCTGATACTGAGTCACTTAGCTCATTAGGGGCATATCTGGATTTAATTAATTTACCCAGTTCCCAGGTGCGTCCATTTCATGGCACTGTATTGCTTTACCAGACTTTCTGAGGGGCCAATAAAAAAGTGACTAAAGTTAGTCATTCTAAGTAGTTGTATTTTAAAGTTTAATTCTTTTGTTATATGGAAAACCCAAAGTCTGAGTGGCAGTGTAATAAATGGTGGGAAGTGGAAAGTACTACATATTTTTTGTCTTCTATTGACATCTTTATACTGATTTCTCTAGTAAAAGTCTTATTTTCTCTTGTAAATAATAGAACTTTAAAGCCAAAACAGACTTTAAAAAACTTTATTTTGCAATTATTTCAAATTTACAGAAAAGCTGCAAGAATAATGCAGAAAACTTTCATATCTTTTAGGGTTCACTCCTTTTTAGTTTGCCACATTTTGCTTTATTGTTCTCATTCAGTACACATACACATATTATTTATTTTTCCTAAATCATGTGAGCAGGTTACATACATCTTGCCCTTTTACTTAAAAGTTCAGTGGTATTTTTCTCCTACATACCCACAGTTTAGTTACCAAATTCAGGAAAACATTGATATGCTCCTTTAATCTGTAGTCTATATTCCAATTTTCTCAATTGCCGTAATGTCCATTGTGGTACTTTAACTCCGTCTCTTTAGTCTCTTTTAACCTGGAAAAGTTCCTCAGCCTTTCTTTTTTTTCATGACCTTGACCTTTTTGAAGATTTAATGTCAGTTATTTTGTGGAATGTTCCTTCATTTGTGTTTGTCTGATATTTCCTTGTGATTAGATTAGGCTGTGCATCCATGAGTATACTACACTACATATGTGGTGTTGTGTCCTTCTCAGGTTATCACATCCTAGAAGTACACAGTGTGTATCTGCTTCTCATTGGTGATGTTAATTTTGATCACCTGGTCTCAGTGTTGTCTGGTTTCTCTTTGTGTACTTACTGTTTTCCCCCTTGCAGATAATAAGCTCTCTGTGAGGGACACACTGAGATTATGTGATAATACCCTCTTCCTCATTACACTTTATCTTTTAAATTTCACATCCGTTGATGATGGTTGCCTGAGTCAGTCTTTTTACTGTGATGGTTACAAAGTGATGATTTTGCCAACTCTATTACTCCCTCCACATTTAGAAGATGGCATTCTGGTGTATGGTAGAATTTTCCTTCTCCATTTTTAAAAAACTTATTTATTATCAATATGGCCTCATGGATTCCTATTTTATTCAGTGGATTGTAATCCATTACTGTCCTTATTTGATCCTCAAATTATCTCAGTGTTGGCCAGTGGGAGCTCCTTTAAACTGCTTCCTATGTCATTTAGGTAATGCCCCCATCATGTTTTTGAGCACTTCTTTTTTAGTACAACAAATGTTCCTGACTCATTCTTGTACATTCCCTGCTTGAGCTCTGGAACCAACCATTTCTTCAAGGATTCCAGGTTTCTTTTAATGGGAAATAGATTTTAGAGGCCAATATCTGGGCTCTAGTTATGCTTACTGCTACCAGAGTGTTACTGCTTCCAGACTCTTTTAGCAAACAAAGCTAGCAAATATGTGTATAATATTTTAGAAATACCTCCCATTCCAAGTCAACCCCACGAGATTCTTCCCTCAATGCATTTAAAAGAAAATCTGTGTTCTTTCATAGTAAGAATTCTGTCTCTCACATCATCACGTTTACTCATTTGCTCAGTCCTACAGTACACATAAGATAATTTCAGAATTGTCACACCTTGTGAAAAACAAGCCTACTGAGCAGTTTAGGATTTAACTATTACCCTCAGTCTTAGGGTATATACTCAAAATAATGTGTTCAAAAGTTACTTAGTCCCTGTACTAGCCAGCCATCAAACATGAAAAAAATAAGAAATAAAAGTTTACTTGGATCAGTCCTCCCCTGGTCCTTTCAGTGTGGTTATGTTATTTATATGAATATAGTTGGCTTCATTTGTCTCTGTTTACATTTGATTTTAGCCTCCCTCAATTATCTTGATTTAACTTTTTTGAATCTATAGAAGTATATTACATCTCCAAAAATAAAACAATACATTAGCATACTTAGAGAAATTTCCTCCCTTTTTATTTCTTCTATCCTATTTTCCCTCACCCCTTGTAGGTAACCATTTAAAAGGTTTTTTTTTTTTTTTTTTTTTTTTTTAAAAACATAAAACTAAAAAAAAAAAAGGTTTTTTTTTTTTTTTTTTTTTTTTTTTTAAACATAATCCATAGGTTCACATGGTAACCATTTTCATCGTTTTCTGATTTATCATTTTTGTATTTCTTTTTGTGAAAATAAGCTGATATGTGTGTTTTATTATCTTTTCTTTTTTACACTCTCCAAAAGAGACTTTTCAAAACATTTTGTCCAAATCTCTTTAACTTACAGATGGAAAAATCAAGGTTCTGTGCTTCCAAATGTGTAATGGTCTTTTACTCTTTGATGTTTCTGTATCTACTGTTCTTTGCTTCTTATCATTGTTTTTAAAATGTTCTGTGTATCTTGTGAGCTTTGTTGTCTTCCTTTTCGCTGAGTTTAATTGTGTAGATCAATGGAATTTTCTTTTAATATTTTATAGATGATTATAAATATATGAAAATATTTGTGTGTGATCCTGTTTTTTGTTTTTTTTTTAACAGGTGGTCAGTCTGACCAAGGCTATGGGTCTAAGGACGAACTTATAAAGGATGATGCAGAAATTCATGTGTCTGAGAAACAAATAGCAAGAGAATTGATAACTAAAACAAAAATGCAAACAGAAGGTTAAGTACTGATATTTATGAGCTTTATTTAGAAAAATATTTGTACTAATTAAACATTTATCTTATTTGATAACATTGGTGATAATTTTTAGAAATGTAGGGTCTGGTTTATAAGATAATATATATACTATTATACAAGGTAGATTTTGGTAGTTTCTGAATTTTAGAATTTAAGAGACCTCTAGAGACTCTGCAGGTCAGCTCTTAATTTTGCAGGACAGTGTGACCCATTGAGGTATTTATTTACCAAATTTACATAGCTACTTTGTGACAGAACCAGGACTAAACTTTGAGTTATCAAAACTTATATTCCAGTGCTCTTTTTATTTTAAAATGCTCTTTCATTATAAGTCTTAGTAGATATTTTTCATTGGTAGGTTAAAAAGGGTCTGTGTGGTTTCCCTGATTTTTATAGGACTGATTGAGATGGAGATGATTTGTTGTTATCATTTTATGGAGATATGGAGAAATATTTTGGCTTATGGTAATAGGATGTCCATCCTATTCTTTTACATAGAAGTACATTTTCTTTGATGATGTTACTTATTTTATGCTCCAGAGTTATGCAGAAGCAAGCCCCTCTCCTCCTTGCCAAGTAATGAGAAGTAGAACTGAATGCTTGATGCTTCATTGATTTACTTAAGAACACTCAAGTTAGGATTATTGAATGCTAAAATAAAGCATTTATTTCAGTCAATATTGGTGAAATTTATGGCATAAAATCAGACACAATAAATCAGTAATAAAATAATCATCTATTCCCCCCCCTTGGAGGAAAAATATATATAGTATATAAAAACCAATATATGGTTTCTGCTTAATATTGTCAAAATTAGGAATGATAACATCTAAATATTTTTTTCCAGAGGTGTGTGATGTCTCTGCTATTGTGGCAAAACGTTCACAACCTAGTCTAGAGCCTCAGAGTCCTACTGAACCTCCTGCATGGGGCAGCAGTATTGTGAAAGTTCCATCTGGTATATTTGATATCAACAGCAGAAAAAGTAGCTCTGGTGAGTCTTTACATATTGGCTATTAAATATTTAAAATGTACTTTTACAGAGACATATGTGTCTTTAATGACATCAAATTATTGACTTAATTGTAATGAACATGTTAAAGAGCCAGAAAGTGAGTTTGAATCCTATAAATGGAATCCTATAAAGAAGTTAAGAATGTTATTTGAAGGTATTAATTTTAAAAAGGAGGGGTAAGGGGGCCAGCCCGTGGCTCACTTGGGAGAGTGTGGTGCTGATAACACCAAGGCCATGGGTTCGGATCCCTGTATAGGGATGGCCGGTTAGCTCAATTGGAGAGCGTGGTGCTGACAACACCAAGTAAAGGGTTAAGATCCCCTTACCGGTCGTCTTTTTAAAAAAATTAAAAAAAATAAAAAGGAGGGGTATTTAGTGTGCTTAATTGTTATTTGGAATGCTGTTTCCTATTGTAGTGCCTATTCTCAGTCTGGTCACACTCATTGTAGATAATGAGAAAGTACCATAGGGCCTCCTGTACTCATCAAGAACAGAGAGGCAGTGATGTGATTGAATCCCAGAGGGCTTATGTGTGTCAGGGTAATTCTTTCCACTGAAGAGAAATGGAAGAAAAATGGCCCGTTATAGGTACCCTGAGACTCTTTTTATTTGTGATTAAATATTTGAAATGAATAACTCTGTGTCACTCTCTTGAATTTGAGTTTACTACTTTCAGTTATGTTGTAGGCCTTCCAAGTACCCTTAAGATATACATCTAAGTACAGCCTTCCATGTCTGAAGGTTCTGCATCTGCAGATTCAGCCAGCTGTGGATCATGGTATCTGTCGGGGGTGCCTGGAATCAATCCCTTGTGCATACCAAGGGATGACTGTGTATGATTTTGAAGGAAGTGAAATTTGTTTCTGCCCGTTGTCCTTCATTAGTGGTAGCTACAGTTTACTTCTCTAAAGTCAACTGTCTTCTCTGTAAATGTATCTATTGTATAATTTTACAGAAATTAATTTGTTCAGCTTCTTAAATCAATGTAGAAGTACTCCTTATTCTTAAAGTTTTTTCTCTTTGTATTTACTGTGATACCAAGTATATTTCATTATGCTTTTTTGGGTAGTGCTTAAGAGGTGGGGCTAAAGGTTTTTTGAGTAATGAATTGATATGTGTGTTCTGTATTCCATTTTCCCAACCTGTCCATAGCAGGGATTAGGGGGTGGGGAGAAGGAGGACATAGTTTTCTTCATCAGAGGTTTAGAGTTCTCTCAGAATATTGAAAGGGACATGGTCCAGGGACTGGTTTGTTTCCTTCCTAATTTACTCATCTTATTTCCATATTATATCTTGATCTAGGAAGATTTATTCCATTAAGAAAGGAGAAGGTGGTAATGGGACTTTGGCCAGAATATCAAACAGTCAAATTCTTCTTAAAATCGAATGAAATATGCCACTAAATTCCTGGAAATACTATGGGAATCAGTAATGTTTGCAAAGATATGTTTCTCAAATATTGGGAATAGTTTTCAGAGCACGTACAGATTTTGGAGTCGTAAAATATGTTAGCTTAAAAAGCTTTAAAAATATTTTAAAATGCTTAATATTAGTTTTGATTAATTGATATAATTATGATTATTAATTAGTACTAATTTGAAAGTTTAAAAAGAACTTTGAAATTAATTTGGAGGATTAAAAAATGTTATCAAAGATAATTTTTCCCCCCAAAGCTCCCAGATCATTATCCTTTTTAAAAAAAATAAGCGAGAATTGTAAATATGAATGGGTAATGTTTTAGTCAGTTTGGGCTGCTGTAACAGAATACCACAGACTCAGTGACTTATAAGAAACAGAAATTTATTTCTTATAGTTCTGCAGACTGGAAAGTCTAAGTTTAGGGTACCAGCATGGTGGGTTCTGGTGAGCGCCCCCTTCTAGGTTGCAGACTTCTGACTTCTCATTGTGTTCCAACATGGTGGAAAGAAAGGAAGGGAGCTCCCTGGGGTCTCTTATATAAAAGCACTAATCCCATTGATGAGGGCTCCACCTTCATGGCCTAATTATCTCCCAAAGGCCTTGCCCTCTAATACTATCACGTTGGGGATTAAGATTTTAACATGAATTTTGGGGGAACACAGACATTTAGTCCATAACAGGTGGACTTAAATTCTAATAACGATTCAAATAGGAAATAGCTTTTGGTCTTGGAGTGGAAAAAATTGCATAATAACAGAGTAAAAGACTGATTCCCTCAAAGCTGGGGAGATTTCTAAGGGCACTGACATATTTTTGCTCTGCTTGATCAAATAATACTGGCCCCTGTGAAGGCTACATTCACTTCTGTTTTATTTGCCATTGTACTAGCACCTCACATAGTGTGGGTCATATTAGGCATTAGATTTTTGCTGAAGGAATGAATGTATCTGAAAACATTTTTAACTATTCAGATTTTATCGGCTTTAGAATTTGCTAATTCTGAACATTTCATCCTGGATTCTTTTTTTTTTTTTTTTGGTGGCTATCTGGTACAGGGATCTGAACCCTTGACCTTGGTGTTATCAGCACTGTGCTCTTAACCAAATGAGCTAACTGGCCAGCCCACATTCTGGATTCTTTTACATTGGAGCAGTAAGGCTTTGGCTATAACAAATAAATAATTACTCCATGACTACAAATTTGCTTTGTGCAGAAAATATTCTTGGCAAGTGTTTGTTGAATTGGATATATGAAAGCAAAGATAGAAGAGATTATTTCTTTTTAAGTCTGCTGTTTAACTCAGAATATATTTCTCTTAGATTGAATGTAAGACTCTTAAAATGTCAGAAATAAGAATAGACCTGTGTCTGTTGATAAATGTGATATATTTTCATGAATAGTATAGGTATATCCAGCATATGTTGCATGATCTTTTTTTAAAAATGGGTGTATATACAAAGGGTCTTCAAAAAGTTCATGGGAAGGTTTGTGTTACAGTTAAATTCCATTTGTCCACAAACTTTTTGAAGTACCTTGATGTGCATAGGGGATGAAAGGCAGCTTATCTCTGAGAGGCAGGGTTGAACAGCTTTTTTTGGCGCTTCTTTATTGTATGTGTTCTTTATACCTTCTAAATTTTCTGCATCTTTTACTCTGAGCATGTCTCTCTTCCATAATCAGAAGAGCGATAAACATTTTTTATAAAAGTTTCATCAGAAAATGGAGATTTATTGTTAACATTTTATTGTCCCTTTTAGGTAGTACATCAAATATGCTATTTCCTACTCAAGTTCCAATTGAAGATGCAGTCTTTGGTGAAGTTACTAGTCTTAAGAAGAATGGTGATAGAGGAGAAAAAAGACAAAAGCATTTTCCAGAGAGAAGCTGTAGTTTTAGTTCTGAAAGTCGAGCAGGAATGTTGCTTAAGAAGAGCAGTTTAGATTTGAATTCAAGTGAAATGGCTGTCATGATGGGAGCAGATGCCAAGATTCTCACAGCAGCATTGACGGGTCCTAAGACTTCTCCACTTCACATCACAAGAACCCATAGCTTTGAGAATGTTAGCTGTTATCTAGCTGATATGAGGACTCATGTGTCTGAAGGCACTTGGGATTCTGAGCACAGATCATCTCCAGTGCTAGAGATGCTTGAGGAAAGCCAAGAGCTTCTAGAGCCTGTGGGTGATGGTAATGTAGCTGAAACTACTACAACAAAGGATACAAATGATGGCCTACAGAATGATAGTAATAGTTATGAGTCCAGAGACTTGAAAGCAGGATCCAAAGATACAATGAATAAGAGAAGTAGTTTATATGGTGTTGCTAAAGCTGTTGAGAGGGAAGATGTTGAAACTGGACTAGATCCTTTGTCTATTTTAGCCACTGAATGTACAGGAGAAAAAACTCTTGATTCTGAAGATAAGATGTTCTCTCCAGTTATTGCACGTAATCTAGCTGATGAAATTGAAAGCTACATGAATCTAAAAAGTCCCCTGGGTAGTAAATCTTCTAGTATGGAATTACACGGAGAGGGAAATAGAGAATCTGGCACTACCACTTCATTTATTCACCCTTTAGAGAGGAGGTCAAGCCTACCTTTAGATCATGGTCTACTAGCACAGGAAAATCCTGAAAGTGAAAACAGCTCCCCTGCGGAGTCCAGGTCTAAAACTTTTGCTGGGCGTTTCAAGCAGCAAACTCCCTCTCGAACTCATAAAGAACGTTCAACTTCTTTATCAGCACTGGTGCGTTCTTCACCACATGGCTCACTGGGCTCTGTAGTAAATTCTTTGTCAGGACTAAAGCTGGATAATATACTCTCAGGGCCTAAGATAGATGTCCTCAAATCTAGTATGAAACAAGCAGCGACAGTAGCCAGTAAGATGTGGGGAGCCGTAGCATCTGCCTACAACTACTCAGATGATGAGGTAAGAAAGGTTTATGTGTGTGGTCTGTCTGGTATTGGAATGTTTGTAGTATCTTTTATATATGTGTGTGTGTGTGTGTGTAAATATGTATAAATGTATAAATTATTAGAGATTTCTGGTCACTTTGGTTTTTATATTTTAAAACTTTATGCATATTTAGTTTCTTTTTTGAAAAAACTTGAACATATATGTAATTTGGTTTTTATATTTTAAAACTTTATGCATATTTAGTTTCTTTTTTGAAAAAACTTGAACATATATGTAAGGAAATTGATAATGTACAAATAGGGTATTAAGGACCACTTTATTATTCCATAGATCAGTCTAGACTGAAACATGAAGTTTATTTCTTTGAAAGCACTAATGATTACTGTTTGAAGTTAATAAGAATGCCATATTTGCATAGCACTTAACTTTTTAAATAACTTTTACGTGTATGTGATCTCCTTAATATATATCATTCTGCAGCTTAATCTATAAACTTCATACTGCATGACAAAAATGATTAAGTTGTTTAAAAATCATTGTAAGTAGAGTTAATCATTCGATCTTTTTATGAAAGTGGAAGTGGGGAAATTTTGCTTATTTGTTTTATAGAAAAAAATTAAGATTTCACCTCTGTGTTTAAAGAATTATATAGTTCTTGAGTACTTTAGTAGAAAAGATGAATATCTATAAATGTTTGCTATTATTGTAAGTAAGTATGTTCTCGGTACTGTTATAAGCTATATATCTACTTTTATGTCTGAATACACATACACACAAATACAAGGCATCTTCAAAAAGTTCATGGAAAGATTCATATTGTCTTTTAATTCCATTTTTCCATGAACTTTTTGAAGTACCCTCATATTCATTTAATTTTCAAGTCAGGAAGACTGGCTCTGGAATACATGCTCTTACCTTAGAAGCAACATCTTAGGAGAAGATACTGAAGAGGAATATATTAAAAGAGGCTCAGGGGGCTGCCCAGAAAGAGCAAAGCAGGTGATATCTAAGTTGGCACTTGAAGAGGAAATTTGAAATTTTGGGTTAGTCAAAGTGATAAAGGTGGCAGAAGGGTGTATCTGAGAGAATAGCGTGAAAAAACATGGACGCTTAAAACATCGTGTATTTTCAAGATAATTTCAGATTGCTAAAACTCTAAAAAAGAAGTAGCGACAGGAGAAAAGAAATTGGATAAATAATATTTGTATACCATTTAAAGGAAAACTATTCTATAGGCAAAATATTAATTGATTTAAAAGTTCAATATTGGGCCGGCCCGTGGCTCAGTCGGGAGAGTGTGGTGCTGATAAAAGTTCAATATTGAGTATTATAAGACAAACCGCATTTTGTATTTAAAGAGCTTACAAGGTCAGCCAAGGAAAGGCAAAATAAAATAGTTTCTAAATTGTCTTAACCTGGCATTATGACAAAAAAAAAAAAAGAGCAAATCATTTTATTTTTGAAATTTTATCTAGTGGTGTTAAGAAAAAACTCCACAGAGGTATTTGGGCTTGTAATATATAACAGTATAAATTCCAAGTAGTCATGGATTTTGCCCTTTCAGTGCTATAGCCCTGGCATCAGTAGCAGTGCCTGGCAAAAGGCAAATAGGGTATACCTAATAAATATTTGCAAATGAAGGAATGCATGAATAAAAAGTTTATAAAATGTTTGTAACTTTTATTCAGAATTTAATCTAAGGCAATGATTAGGGATATGTGTAAAAATAGCTTAAAGAAATTCATCAAGGTAATTTATATAGGATTTAAAACATTTTGAGTGTTTATGCAATAGGGGATTGAATAACTCCGTAGTAGTACATCAGTAAAACAGATTAGTTTACAGGGTTTAAATAATGTAGAAGATAATAATGACATTAAAATAAATTACGTGAGAAGTAACCTTAAAAACAATATCCTAATTTCTAAAAAATTGTTACATGATTATGTATGTATATTTAAAAATGACAAGAGGATATATGAGGAAAAACAGAATTAAAAGATAATACAGGGCCGGCCCGGTGGCGCACTGGATAGTGCGCCGCTTGGGAAGCGCGGCGGCGCTCCCCGTTGCCGGACATGGAAAAAGACAAAAGACCAAAAAAAAAGATAATACAAATCATACCATGAACTTTTTGAAAACCCCTCATATATCAAAATTTTGAATGTACTCTCTGGCTATTGGTATTATGTGTTTTTTTATTTCCTGTTTTGCCTATCTGTATTTAATTTTTTAAAAATTATTTAACATGGTTTTATAACTAGGAAGACACAGATCTTTTGTCCTTAAAGCAAAAACCAAAAAGGAAGCTGATTATTGATATGTTTTCTACCTAAACTAGAGCATCAACAATGACTGTAGTTGAGAACTACAGTGTTTGGAACTTTATTCACGTTTTTTGCCTCTAATATTGATGTTTGTTATTCTGAACTGTCATATTCCCGGCTGAAATTCTCACAACAGCCTTATTTGTAAGGACTCATATCTATATTTTTCAGATGATATAATGAAGAGTTAGAGAAGTTAAGTAATATCTGTAAGGTCACATACCCAGTAAGTGATGGAGAGTCGAGTGATCAGTTTGGCTGTCTGACTGTAAATTTGGCTGTCTGACCCCTTCCCTACTTGTACTGATGTCCCCAATTCCACTGGACACAGTGAGCTCCTAGAGTTCCTTTATTTTATAATAAATATTGAGTATGGAGAGACACCCAGACCCCAAACATACACCTGAGGCATAACACAATCTTTTCTTAAACTATTGTAGGTCATTGCTTGAATGTGTTATAGTGTGCAAGAGAAGTTCCAAATAGTAAAAGGAGTTCATAGTTTTGAAAAATATGGGAACGATGATTTGTATAAGGATTATAGAGGAGTTTTGTTCTGAAAGGGCAGAGTGAGTATATTCCCATTGGAGAAGGTATTATTTATGTATGTGGGGTTTTTTTTTTTTTTCCAATTAAAGGAAGAAACAAATAGAGATTACAGTTTTCCAGCGGGCTTAGAAGACCATATTTTGGGGGAGAATGTGTCACCTAACACGAGTATCTCAGGTTTGGTCCCCAGTGAACTTACCCAGAGCAACACAAGCCTTGGCAGTAGCAGCAGCAGTGGAGATGTAGGAAAACTGCATTATTCATCAGGTAGGTGAAGGATTGTCTTTTCTTCATTTAGTTTTTCCTTGTATTAATTTATCTGCCTTTAACTCACCCCACTCTTATATGCCCCATTTGTTGAGATGATCTGATAGATTAACAATAGCCACACCTTAGTATCTACTCTGATTTTGTGTAATCTATAAGTACTACAGTCACCTACTGTGTTTATTTTTACTTGTATGTATCTGTGGATTGTATCATTAGTTCTCTAACGTGCATCAGAATCATCTGGGGAATCTGTGTAAAAATGTATACAAATGTTCAAACCTCAGAAAACTTCTAAGACTGAATTTGTGAGATAGGGCTTTGGAGATGTGTATTTTTAACCAGCTTTCTGGGCAAATCATATATATACCAGAGTTTGAGAATCCCTGAGCTATATCATTTAAATTTCTTAGCTCTGTTATTTTTTAAAAATTTTAATTCTATTCTTTTTCTCCCACTTTTTATTATTAAGTATTTCAATTATCCTAAAAAGTTAGAAGAATCGTATAATGAACAATCATATATTCTCCAGCTAGATTTAATTAACTATTGTTAGCTTTATCTCTCTATATATACACATATATTTTGGTACTGAATCATTTGAGAATAAATTGTCATGATCCTTCCCCCTTAAATACTTTGGCATGTATTTTCAAAGAATAGGGACATTGCCTACATAATGTGTTATGATGCTTACTCCTATTTAGGTGAAGTCCCATTTCCTAGAGGCATGAAAGGACAGGACTTTGAAAAATCAGACCATGGTTCTTCTCAGAATACCAGCATGTCTAGCATCTATCAGAATTGTGCAATGGAGGTAAAAGTTCTGTATTCTGCCCATGATAAAGTTGCTGGAAACATATTTTTATTTCAGAATGGCATTTAACAGGATTCTATGATACCCTGTGGACAGAATAATAAAATAAGTCATTTTGTTGAATTTGCTTGATGTCTTATGTAAGTAAAGCAATGAACTGGTAGTTTACTGGTGAAATAATAGAACTGTTAATTCCAGATTTGACTAACAGAATAGATAAAATCCTATGTTTATCTTACAAGAATGGTCTGTTAAGATTAATTTTCACCGTAGACCTTCTCAGTGTCTGCATTTTTCTTTTCTTAGGTTTTGATGTCAAGTTGTTCACAGTGTAGAGCTTGTGGAGCTTTAGTTTATGATGAAGAAATTATGGCTGGATGGACGGCAGATGATTCAAATTTGAATACAACCTGTCCATTCTGTAGAAGCAACTTCTTGCCTCTTCTCAATATAGAATTTAAAGACTTGAGAGGCTCTGCAAGGTTAGTATTATAAAAGCTCCCTCAAGAGCTAGGTGCCCCCAGAAGCCATGACTCCTGGGGGAAGAGTAAAATCTTCATGTTATGCTCTAGGCTTGCCTTTCCTTTCTCTCTTTCATCTTCAGTATTTGAGTAGAAAATACTAGTAATATAGGAGACTATTTTTCCATTTTATTTAAAGTAGGCTTTTCAGTAGTAGTTAATTCTTGGAACCAAACTTTATTTATAGATAACTAAAAACTCTTAATGTTAGGTACTATTTCAAACCTTCTGCCTTCATGTCCTTAATTATGTCTTCCAGAAGAAAAAGGGGGAAAAAAGCTGCAACTCTTCTCTTAACAGATAGCCTCTTTCTGGTAGTGCTCTATACAGTGGATTGCCCACATTCTAGGCAATTAGGAAGTTGTCTGGCTGGTGTATAATCCGACATTAAGTCACTGAGAGTTTGGTGTATGCTTATACAGCATAACTGTATGCTGACCTAAATAATTATACTTAATATTTCTACCTGCTTTATGGAGCAAATGGACTATATATTGTTGTTTGCCTTTAGCTGCTTTTAAAAAAAATTTGCAATTGTAGAGGTGTTTCCTTTTTATTTTTTCTTTTAGCTTCAGGCGTGGAGCTGAGTCAAATCATACTCTAATTACTCACACACTATTACCATTGGTATGTGCAAGGGCCCTCTTTAATTTATCCTCCTTCCCCATTCCCACTCTCATTCCCTTATTCAACAAAGACATTGACTCTGCTGTGTGTGATATGTCATTTAATGTATATCCATATAAAATATGTAGGATTGTTTTGTGTGATTATGTGTTTTTACTTTTTTATATACATAATTAGAATAATGCTGAAAATTTCAATTTCTTTTTATTACTCAATTTAAAGTCAATCTGAATTACTATATGTTCATCTAGTGTATTCCTTTTCTCCTGCAAGAAGTTAATACCTCATTTTATTTATCTGTTATCCAAGTGTTGGATATTTCAGTTGCTTACAGTTCTGTTACTACAAACATCACTGCAGTGATGCAGTGCACTGCAAAATATATGTCCCCTTTTGGACTTGAGAAGTGGTTTCTCTCCGAAAAATAGTCTTGAGTCATTTTCATACATAATTTCAGTAAGCATTGGAAGATTGCTTCCAGGTGGTTATACTCTCACAAGTAATATCCAAGAATTCTTATTTCTGTACAAGCTTATCAGCATTTGGCATTATCACTTTTCTTTTTTTTTTTTAAAAGATGACCGGTAAGGGAATCTTAACCCTTGACTTGGTGTTGTCAGCACCACACTCACCCAGTGAGCCAACCGGCCATCCCTATGTGGGATCTGAACCCTTGGCCTTGGTGTTATCAGCACCGCACTCTCCCGAGTGAGCCACAGGGCTGGCCCAAAACTTTTTTTTTTTGTCTTTTTTTTCAGGACTGGCAAGGGGTTCGCAACCCTTGGTGTAGTGTCGCCCGCACTGCACTCAGCCAGTGAGCGCACCGGCCAGTCCTATATAGGATCCAAACCCACGGTGGGAGCGTCGCTGCGCTCCCAGCGCTGCACTCTCCCGAGTGCGCCACAGGCCGGCCCGCCTAGCATTATCACTTTTCTAATTGTTATATTCTTTTTTTTTTTTTTTTTTTGTTTTTTTTCGGG